AACAGTCATAGATTGAAAATGACCCAATTTATTATTGTTTTTGGTTTTGGAGGGATTATTATTAGGCGTGTGGAGTAAGGAAACTTGCCCAAGGTTTCGCCCTCTGCCTGGAATTGAACTCAGGTCTCTCGCTTGCAAAGCGAGTGCTCTAACCACTGAGCTACAGGACTCATAGTCTGTGCTGACACTCTAATGCTGCAGGTGCTGCCTTTCGGACGAGCCATTTAACCTAGTTCTGTTGCCCTCTGGCCCTCTTAGTTGCTTTCAACACAGTTAAGCATGCCACCCTCCTCAATCACCTGTCCTCCCTAATCCACCTCAGTTCGGACCACATTCTCCTGGTTCAATTTCAGTGAGCGAATAGTGAAACTGTAGAACAGGCTCCCTAGGGAGATGGTTGAAGCAGGAAATGTTGATTCTTTCAAACACAAATTAGATTATGGGATATAGTAGATAGGTAGCTTGGGACATATGTGCATGTGACCACCAGGAAGATGGAAGGCGAACTGGATGGACCTTGGTCTTTTTTCGTCCAGCATTTCTTATGTTCTTATGTAAGTCCTTCATGATCCACTGTTATGATTACGTCTCCACAAATGAATTTCCTCCCACCACTCACAGTCACTTGCAGTGTATCCCAAGACATCATCCTTGCAACCCCCTCACTTTTCTTTATTTGTATGCTCTATCTCGGTGATATCATCCACAGACATGGGGGTCAACCTCCGCATGTATGTGGAGAACACTCAAATCTACTGTTCCTCGTCTTGCTACGACCCCACGTCCACTGATGTTATGTCTGCTTGCTTGTCAGACATCAAGGCCGAGATTAAATTTCTGCAGCTGAATGTTGACAAGACAGAAGCCATACTCCTTGGCTTCTGTCAACATTTTCTCAGCTGCAGCTCCAATTTCCTTAACCTGCCTGGCCTATTCCTCAGACTTCCTAAATCTGTGCACACCAAGGATTCAGGTTCAACTGCCTATAGTCATCATCCCTCTCTCGTCGGTTGTGTGTCAACAACAACAACAAAATTACATTTGTAAAGCGCCTTTCATGTCAGGAGGATGTCCCAAGGTGTTCGACTAGAGAGAGTTACAGACCCGAGCGTTGGGGTGGGGGAGGGTGGAGGGTGGGGGTGAAGCAGGGAGATCCAAAGCACGATCGAAGAGGAAGGTCTTGAGGTGGGTCTTGAAGGTGGCGAGGGAGGGGACGAGGCAGAGGGACTACGGGATGGAGTTCCAGAGGGTGGAGCAGAGTGGCAGAAGACCAGTCCACCGATAGTGGGGCGAGCGAGGCGGGGGATGTGAAGCAGCCCAGAGCGGAGGGAGCGAACAGGATGGTAGGGGATTAGGAGGTTGCAGAGGTAGGGGGAAGCAAGACTGTGGAGGGCTTTGAAGGTGAGGACCAGGATTTTGAACTGTATCCTCAGTAGTGATGGGAAGCCAGTGGAGTTGGGCAGGATGGGGGTGATAGGGTCGCGGAGCCTATGGCAGGAGAGGACACAGGCTGCAGAGTTCAGGATGGAGGGAGAAGTTGGGGAGGCCGACAAGCAGTGAGTTTGCATAGTCGAGCCTCAATGTAATGGTGTGTATGAGGGTTTCAGCGGCCGGTCAAGGTTAACTGCTTCAAGTTGTTACCTGCATGAAGGGCGCTACATAAAGTTGGCATTTCGTTGCTGTCTTGCCTGCCTATTTAGGTGGATGTTAAAAATCCCATGCCACTATTCCAAAAGAGAGGAGAATTTGCAAATCCCCCAAATAAAATTGGTCACCACTTCATGGCTGTGGGACATTGCTTTGCGCATATTGGCTGCAACATTTGCCTAGAAATCACAGTAAAAATCCTGGGAAGCATATTCCGTGGAAGAGAGAGATGTTTTATACAGGTTGAAGTCCAGACAATTAAAAGAGGGGGGTGGGGTGGAGGAGATCTGCTATGGATTTACTGCCGGCTTTGTGGGAGGTGCCCCTGTGATGTGATGCTCCAGCCATTTGGGATTTTGCAGCAAAGAATTGCACTCAGGGATCCTCACACAACCTGCCAGGAACTGTTGTCTGCTTGAGGTGTTGCTGCACATGTAAAGGTAATGAAACATGTTCAATTCTTTATGTTAGCGAAGAATCCGAGCCTGAGAATTTCAAATAAGCAAAGCGATGGGCAGTGCAGAGGGTGAAGGGTAGATTTGCTCTATCCTCACAATCGTGTGATGTGTCAACAGGATTTGTACTCAATTAGCCAGGAATGCATCTGCCCAAATAATGGCAGATGTTGGCAAATTTCTGTTCAAATGCTCAGAGAATGCTTTTTTACTAAAAAAAACGCTTTGCATTGAATGAATCTAAAAACGTGTATCCTATTTGATTTATTACTAAATAAGCAAGAGCGTGCTTTCCTGGTAAAATGTTAACATCAGATTAATATCAGGTCTTGTGTTATCCGGGTTTCCTATGGGTTTGCGTGTTTGTGAACCGTACATCAAGACACAGATGCTGTCAGAAGAACTCAGCTGAGTGGATGAATATATCATTCAGTATAATCAATGATTATTTTCGTAATCAAATTGAGATCAAATGAGGATTAAAATATCACAGTTGTTATGTACAGCACTTAATATTTGCAAGAATGGCTGACCATGTTTTAGTATGTTCTAATACAGTGTATAATATATATGTGTATATAAATATATACACGCAGTGGTTGGAGACTGCTATTGCTCACATGCGTATTTAGATTTATTTCCGATCGATTGTGGGAGTAGATTTTTTTTGCACAGATCTTAATACGTAGAACTCCACAAATCAGTTTTTCTGCATTTTCTTCATATTTTAAAATGAAACGAATGGGGGCAGATCATGTAGAGTGGCTTAAAGCTTTGGACATCGCTTGCTGAACAATTAAGGAGTGTTGCTTTCCCACAATCTTCATTCGTGTGTATCTAGATCAGTCTTTTCTGTATATCTATATATTTAGATGTGTGTTGACATGCTAATTGTTTGTGTTGTGATGCAAGTATCCAGAACGTACAACATCTGGAAAACACAATGTAAATAATCAAGTCACCACAGGGGCTGAATCTGTGATCAGACATTCGCCATCTAATGGCCGATATGTACATTTGTAATATGTGAATTGTAATTCGAGATGGAGGGGTTGGGGGTGAAATTGCTAACGCCAGTAAATATTATTATTATTATATATTATATATAACTATATACATTAACTGTTGCAGCTAATCAGGTTTTATGCATGAGTGAGTTAGTGTTTGCCACTTTGCATTAACTGGAAGAAAGGTATTGTTTATCTTTGCCTCAAAACAGCCTGGGCTGGCTCAGAAGGTATTTCTTGACTGATGAGCCCAAAATAGTCACAAATCCGGTGGTAAAGGTGCATTTTAGGAATAAAATAATAATGATACTTTCATTTAACATAATGCATATTGTAAAGTGTGGTTTGTGACTGTGTAATTTGTTGGCTATTACCGATAAATTAAACTTGTTAGATAAGAATAATAATAATAATAATCCTTGCATTTAATATAGCGCATTTCACATCTTCTAGATGTCTCTAAACACCTCACAGAATATACTGTAAAGTGAATTGACTGTACATTTGTGGGCGAAACGCGGCAGCCAATTGTGCACAGTAATGTCTCACAAACAGTCGCGGATTGAGTAACCAAATTGTTATTTTTTTATTTTTTATATTTCCTTGAGGGATTATTATTAGGCATGTGGAGTAAAGAAACTTCCCCAAAGTTTTGCCTTGCCGCGCGCGCATCAAACCCAGGTCTCTCACTTGCAAGCGAGATATGATCTATGCAGTGACTATAATATGATAGAATATCAGGTTTGAAGGGGAAAAATTAGGATCACAAATCAAAGTGCTAGACTTTAACAAGATCAGCATTGATGGAATCAGGAAGGAATTAGTTGGAATAAAGTAGCAGGAATTGTTAGTTGGTCGATTGTGGATTGAGTGACCAAATCATTGTTTAATATATATATACCCTTAAAAGACAAAGGTTGTATTATAATTCAAAGCAACCATAGTTAATAAATTGTCAATCCTTGTATTAACAAAATGATAATGCAAATGAAATGCAAGGGACGGTGACAAGCCTCTTCACACTATTAAGACAGTAACGTCTCACCTGAAAGGCACATCTAACATTATATCACAACCCCAACAGTGCATTGGAGTGTCGGCTGGAATATAGAGAAAAGCAGAGGAGACAATAAAATAATATGGAAAAAAACTAAATGGGTAACTGCAGCGTATTTTATAAATATATCAACAGCAAGAGTGTTAATCAGATAAATAGTAGAGAGTATGAACCTGGCACAATTGTAGAATGAATATTTTGCTGTCATCTTCACATTGAAAAAGACAGTTGGAACCACAAATTAAGGTAAACCTGGATTTCAGAGACGAGCAGAAACTGATTATACACAGAAAAATGGCAATGGATAAACTAATGAGTTTGAAGTCAGACAAATCTCCAGGTCCAGGTGTTTTCCACCTAGCGTACTAAAATAAATAAGGGAAGAAATTGTAGAGACTTTAATTATTAAAGCCTGTGGAGTCCTGTAGCTTAGTGTGGAGTCCTGGAGCTTAGTGGTTAGAGCACTCGCCTTGCAAGAGAACGAACCTGGGCTTGATTCCCGGCAGGGCGAAATGTTGGGCAAGTTTCCTTACTCCACATGCCCCTGTTTACCTAGCCTTAAGTAGGAATCCGGTTGTTAGTCGATTGCAGATCGGAGCTTTTCCGGGGGTAATAATCCCATCAAAACAAATATAATAACATTTTTAAAAATGTGATAATTCAATCCATGACTGTTTAAGAATTTTGTTTCAAATATTATGCAGGAATTGAATAGCTTCATTCATTTTGCTGCCATGATTGAAGTGATTGAGTGCTGAGTCGTGATGACTGTGGTACTGTAGCTGCCCACAGGGCGGTGTTAAAACAGACTCATGTTTCAGAACAGGAAAAGGCAGTGAATGTGCTTCTCGTAACAACTCCCCAACGAATCATCAGTTGTTGATCAGTGGTACCAGATCCGCGGCAGCCCTATAAAGTTATACAGAGACAAACTGGGGTTCTTTTGGGTCACATCTAAAGATCAGATCACAAGTGGCAGTGGCCAATACTGTAATCTTACGGACTGAGCTAAGCTGGGTAACAGCACCTCTGTCTGGCTCCCTGAGGCCAGATACTCTTTATTGCTATTTCCCTGATCTCACCTTCTGTTTTGGCCAGAAACAACATCTTCCCTTTCGAGATCGTCCTCTTTTTTTAAAAAAAACTCTTTGTTTATTATCAAGATGGGAAAGGTGAAGATTTTTGCAATAACCTATGATGATTTTGTTGATAACATTGCCCCAATGTTCTCCAGTGGAGACTTCGTCTCTGGCCGGGTCACTGTGGAAGTGATTGAGGAAACTAAGCTGCAGTCTCTTACACTCCATGTGAGAGGAGAAGCCAAAGTCCACTGGACAGAATCAAATGGCACCAACTCCTCTACAAGTTACAGCAAAGAAGTGAAGTATTTTGACTACAAAAACCTGTTATTAGGACAGGTAAGAGGTAAGTAGTAATTGTAACCCTTTACCCCTTACCATGTAACATAGTTGCTCTGGTGTAGTGTAGCTCAGCATGTTCTGTGTGTCACTGTCCTGCAATCGTGTTGTATACTGTGTATCAGTCACCAGAAACCTAGTAACTTCGGACTACTACCCTCTTGTAACAAAATGAAAACTTCTCTGTATCAAATTGTGCAGTTAGTTTGCTGAAAAAATAAATTATCTATTCTAAGAGATAAAACTGGCACAACTTTACAAATGGGGAAGATCGATGATCACCTGCTTTACTGCCAATTTGTGTCAGTGCCAATACTTAGCAATGCTCATTTCCCATACTTTGCATTTTTGAAGTTTTATTGTATTTTTCCCCGCCTCTTGTAGTTTTTATGTTTAATGAAAGATTGCTACTTTGATGCAAAAATTCAACATTATGTCTGCACCAGTGTTTTTGTTTGTTACTGTTCATCTCTAATCAGAGATTTTATACGAGGTGAGGATAAGACTCATTTTAGATCCTGTGTTTGTGAAAACATATATTCAGTGGCAATCATTTTGGGAGTGTTATAAAAGGTATTCTACATGCAGTGATATTGAAAAGTGAATGAATTATTTTGCTAAATCTTCATCTTTCATTCTATGGTTCAATCCTGCTTGAGATAAGAATTGACCATGGGATGAGAGGGCTGTGAATCTCTTTTTTGGTCCAAATATTTAAATAATCAGTGCTTCTAAATGCTGCCTAATATTCTGCAAAAAAAATGTTGAAACAGCTAAATGACACATTCCTACACAGTGTTGTCTCTACATAATGTATTCCCTTGAAATTTTGCTTTTGAATACTAACATATTAACTAAAACAACAAATTACATTTGTATAGCGCATTTCACATTGAAAGGATGTCCCAAGGCACTGGACAGTCAGGGATTTGGACCTGAGCAGGGGGTTGGGGTCAGAGTAGGGATAGGAGGCTGGCCGAATGTGTGGTTGAAGAAAAGGGTCTTGAGATTTGTTTTGAAGGAGACAAGGGAGGGAGCAAAACAAGGGGACTGTGGGATGGAGTTCCAAAGGGTGTGGGCAGAGAAGTTGAAGGCCAATAGTGGTGCGGGCCGGGAGGGGGACGTTGAGCAGACTGGATGGAGCCTGCTGAGCAGAGGGAGTGGACAGGTTGATATAGGTTCGCAAGTCACAGAGGTAGGGAAGGGCAAGGCCATGGAGGGCCTTGAAGGTGAGGGTGAGGATTTTGAACTCAATCCTAGGGGGATGAGGAGCCAGTGGAGCCATGCAAGGATGGGGGTGATTGGGTCACGTAGCCTAGTGCAGAAGAGGACATGAGCTTTAGAGTTCTGGATGATCTGCAGCTTGTGGAGGGAAGCGTTGGGAAGGCCAACAAGCAGAGAGTTGGGGTAGTCGAGCCTGAATGTAATGGATGAGGGTTTCAGCATTTCATATTAGTACAGTACCATTAAATATCTAGATTCACATGGAAAACTATTGAAACAGAAATTGTAGATACTACTGTCTAAAAATCACAGTTGACAGGAGAGTATTTTGTAAATGTATACCTTTTAACTGCTGTTCATTTCCATTTTATAGAGAACATAATAATCGAGAGCTAATTGATCCATCAAATAGATATAAATGACAAACCAATTCTCTTTTCATTTTACATAATTTTAAGCAACTAACAGACATTGACTGGATGCACTTTTTTGTGATCAAAAATCTCGGATTCTTTGAAATAATTTAAATGAATCATTTCAATTGCTTTTCTCAGTGATGACGTAACATAACATGTCTTGTGTAAGTTTACAGTAATATACCTTGCCCAAGTTTACCATAATACAACTTAAGTCTTGCCTAAGTTAGAAATATAATAATGTCATTGAGAAATGGGACAATCGATAGACTCAAAGCAACTTTTGCTCACTGGAATGCAATTTGTGACATAGGAGTATCAGTTTGTGAAATGCCAGTTTTCCAGTGTAACAAAATTACAGAGCGCCTTTCAACAACAACAACAACAAGATTCCATTTATAAAGCGCCTTTCACGTCAGGAGGACGTCCCAAGGCGCTGCACAGTTGGGTCATGACCCGAGCAGTGGGGAAATGGTCAGGGTGAGGAGAGGGAAGGGAGGGAGCGAGGAGGGGGGAAATGGTCAGGGTGAGGGGAGGGAAGGGAGGGAGCGAGGAGGGGGAAGAGAGTCGAGAGGGGAGCTGAAGGCTCGGTCAAAGAGAAAGGTTTTGAGACCGGCCTTGAAGGAGGAAAGGGAGGAAGCAAGGCGAAGGCACTGGGGGATGGAGTTCCAGAGCCTGGGGGCTGAGAGGCTGAAGGCCCGACCACCGATGGTAGGGCGGTTGGGGCGGGGGACGTGGAGCAGACCGGAGCCAGAGGAACGGAGGGTACGGGCAGGTAGGTAGGGGGGAGGGAGGATGTCGGGAGGATGTCCCAAAGCGCTGAACAGTCAGGTGTCGGGACCCGAGCATGGGGGAGGGGTGGTGTAGGGGTGAGGGAAGGCAGAAAGGTGGAAGGGAGACCAAAGACACAGTCGAAGAGAAGGGTCTTTAGACTGGCCTTGAAGGTTGCTAGGGAGGAAATGAGGCAAAGGGACAGTGGGATGGAGTTCCAGAATGTGGGAGCAGAGAGGATGAAAGCCCGGCCACCGATGGTAGGGCGGTCGGGTGGGAGACATGGAACAGGCCAGAGCCCGATGAACGGAGGGAGTGGGCAGGTTGGTGGGGAGTCAGCAGGTCAGAGAGGTAGGAGGGGGCAAGGCCATGGATGGCCTTATAGGTGAGAATGAGGATCTTGAACTCAATCCTCTGGGGGATGGGGAGCCAGTAGGGTCGGGCGAGGGTGGGAGTGATGAGGTCACGGAGCCTGGTGTGTGAGAGTACACGAGCTGCAGAGTTTTGGATGATCTGCAGCTTGTGAAGAGTTGGGAAAGCCGATAAGAAGGGAGTTCCCGTAATCGAGCCTTGATGTGACAAATGTACGAGTGAGGGTTTCAGCAGCCTGAGGGGTGAGGCAGTGGCAGAGTCTGGCATTGTTGCGGAGGTGGTGGTAGGCAATGCCGGTCATGGTACGGATGTGGGGGAGAAAGAACAGTTCAGGGTCAAACAAGATATCCATGTTCCTGACTGGCTCAGTGAGGTTGATTGTGCAGCCGTGGAGGCTGATGCGGAGGTGCGGAGGCGCTGGTGCGAGCCACTCAGGAGGGCTTCAGTCTTGCTGACATTGAGTTGGAGAAAGTTAGCCCTCATCCAGGACTTGATGTTGGACAGGCAGTCAGTCAGGACGCCAGTAGTCCTGGAGTTCAGGGTGGAGGCAGAGAGGTAGAGTTGGGTGTCATCTGCATACATGTTAATTTTAAGCAACTTACAGACATTGACTGGGTTCAGTTTTCTGCGATCAGAAATGTCAGATTCTTTGAAATAATTTCAATGAATAATTTCAATTGCTTTTCTTAGTGATGACGTAACATAACATGTCTTGCGTAAGTTTACAGTAATATACCTTGCCCAAGTTTACCATAATACAACTTAAATCTTGCCTAAGTTAGAAATATAATAATGCCATTGAGAAATGGCACAATCGATAGACTCATGCCAGATGTCTTACCAAAGTCTGCCTGACAGAAAGAAAATACCAACAAGAAGTGAAGTATTTGAAGCATAAAGAAGTGTTAATCGGACGTGGAGCTGGTTAATTGTAATGGTAACACAATCAAGTAAGTTGCCCTGGTGAAGTTTAAAACAATCTGTGTGCAGCTTGACTGTAACTATTATAAATAATGGGTACATGTCAGGAATGAGTTACTACAGAATACAGCGCTTTTGTATTGAAATATGAGAACAGATTCACTATTAATGGACAATGTAGCATTTATTAAGGATATAGCGCAATGTTGTAGCGCAATAAGTGCTTCAAGGAGGGACATCATTTCTGAAATTGCAGTGGCAATAAGAGGAATTCAATGAAATACAAACATCCTTTATGTAATATTAAAGTTGCATTACTCTTTTATCTCCCAAATTCTGAAATATCTGGCATGCCTGCAGCAATATTGCACCATACTAAAGTGACTACTGCAAGTAACCTTTGTACTTAGCATTTAAGAATAAGAACTGGCAGTTTGCACAATGTTCACTTATATATCAGGAATAAGGCTGCACATGTCCTGAATGTAGAGGAGAGTTTTTTTTGTCAGCCGCATGTCTGATACATGATACATCCACATATGTATGCTACCTAACATGGAAGGTTCACTGTGTTTGGAATGGAATGCACATTCTCCTTGGAAGGACATACCTCACTTACCTAATTCCAGAGAGTATTGGTAAAGAGTACAGATTGGCACAATTCAAGGCTTGGGGATCCCATAGTGGATTGGGATACTGCTGGGTTTAACTTGCCAAACCAAGATAGTTTGCCATCAGGAGCATTCGTGCTGTATGTCCAGCTCAATTGAGGAAGCAAGTCTCTGGAGTTGTGTTCAAGACCCATTAATTTAAACGTAATCTTGGAATATGGGGATAAATGGAGTCCTGTAGCTCAGTGAATAGAGACTCACCTCACAAGGGAGAGACCTGGGTTCAATTCCCAGCAAGGTGAAACATTGGGAAGATTTCCTTACTCTACACGCTTCTGTTTACCTAACATTAAGTAGGCACCCAGTTGTTAGTTGATTGGCGGTTCATATTTCCTGGGGGGGTAATAATTCCTTAAAAAAAAATTGGTCACTCAATCCAAGATTGTTTGTGAAACACTGCTTTGTGCAGTTGACTGCCGTGTTTTGCCCACAAATATACAGTCAATTCACTTTACAGTATATTCTGTGAAGTGCTTTGAGATGTATCGAAGATGTGATAAGGTACTATATCAAATACATGATTATTATTATAATACCTTGTAGTACTGCACATCTGGATGGCCTAGGGTCCAGACTACTGAGACAACCACAGAGGATTGACTAGAATGACCAAACATGGTGAATGATCAACGTTACCTGAAGAATTGTTATCCAGGACACCAGGAGAAACTCATTGTTTCTTTTTATACAAGCATGTTATGGGAGCTTGTTTAACTTGTTTTTCTGCTGGTTTAGTTAGGTACTAAAGAGGCCATGGCACTATTCAAAAAGTAAGAGGGAATATCACTCTTCCTGGCCAACAATCTTTGTCACTTCGCTTTGCAATATTTTCTGTGAAGCGCTTTTCTCAAATGAGCCTCGAGGAAAGTACAAGACAACCCACAATTCTCTCCTCACTTCTGAAAAGATAAAATACAAATAGGAATAATGGCTGTCAGGAATAATGCTGCCATTTGCTACAGAGGCAGATAGAGAGAGTGCACACACATACACTAACCATGCTGTCGAAGACGTGATAAAATGCTATATCAAATGTAAAGATGATTATTATTATTATAAGGCAGAGCAGTGGGATTCAGTGAACATCTTGTTCTGAGAGCTGATGCAGATTTGATGAGCCAAATGCCTCCTTCTGTAAATATCTATGGTTCTAATCATTTCATACCAAGACTTCAGTTGAGATGAAATGTAAAGTTTCAGTTTTCAGCCTCACAGGGCACAGGTTGGGAAATACCTCCTGGGCAAGGAGGAACGGGTCATGTTTTGGTAGAGAAATACAGTACTGATTATAAGATAAGATAATCAAAGGAATGACTGCTTTTGACATTTTCAAGTTGGTAATAGAATGTGCTATTGCATAGCTTCAACTGTCTGCTTCAGCTATGACAAATCCTGTTTGACATTGTTTAGATTTCATGTGCATTTCAGTGACAATTACATAGCTATTGATATAGTGATAATTTACTGTATACTGCTCAGACTTAGCACGTAAATGAGCCATAGAGATCATAATGTACGTCTTTTTGGTGGTTTGTACAGAATTATTTGATCTCAGTCAGACTTCTATTGAAGAGAGAGAAAAGAGGCATTAAAATCAATTTCAGCTTGGGAAGAGAAAAAGATATCTCAATCCTGCTATCCAGGCCTGTAAAAACTTCCTGAAGTATCACAATAAGAAAAAATGTAAATCTGCATGTTTTTGTACTGTTTTTGCTCATGTGAATACAGAATGAATACGGTTACGTTTCAGCATCTGTATTACTTTGTAGTTACACACATTATGCAGTCAGCAATGTGATTTAGTCCATACGAATTAGAGGAATGAGCTTTGAGCAGCAATTAGTAAAGCTAAGGTCCTTCAATCTTGAAAAGGAGACATTTCAATGGGAACTTAATAGAGGTATGGAAAATTTTAAATGGGATTGAGAAAGTAAAGGGTTTTAAAGGCCAATTTCAGTATTTCTTTACTCAGAGAACAATTAACGACTGGAATATTTTACCAGGAAAGATGCTTGATGGTGGACTCATTTAAATAAAATAGCTTGATGCTGTACTTGGAGGATGGTAGGTGGATGTTCTGGAAAAATGGGATCAAATGGACTAAAAGCCTATATTCATCCTAACTTCTCGAGTGATGTCCATCTAATAATATTGGGGGCAAAAGGTTATGAAAAGTTGATCAAGCAATAACATTTTCCACTGTGTCATTCCTTCTGTGCAGTTTTAAAAGTGAAAACTAAATGTCGTTAATCTTAAAAAAAAACTCCTTGAAATATGCAAATTCAGAACATTATGTAAATTCAGTGTTGTGCCTATCTCACTTGCAGAAAAATCCGTGAGGCTAGACTGAGCGCAGGTTTAGACCAAATGTATTGCTCTCAGGTGTAGCCTTGTAACTTGCTACCTTTTCACTGCTCTTATACAAAGCCCTGCTTACTGAGCTTACAGGAAAGACAATGGAGCACAGGTAGCACAATGCAGCAAAACAAACATTCAATAAAAGTTTGTTTTAATATAAAGAATGATAGAAACAGAAAGGGCTGCACACAGGAATATGACTTGGAGCCCAGCAAGTCGAAGCTCTCCTGTTTCAAAATCCCAGCAACCAAACCGCTTTCTATTTCCCTTTCAACTATGGTACAATTATGTCGCAACTATAGTATGTGTCAGTGACTTCCACATTTCAACAACCATGGAAATTAATGGTTTCTAATTTCCTTTTTAATTATTTTCTCAACTTTCATTAAAAAAACTGTCTTAACTTTCGGTTTGTACCTCTTCTCTGGTAAGTTTTTAATAAATCTATATTACACCCTTTTTCTTATTTGCATGTCCTTCCTAATATGGGATACCCAACACTGTACACAATACAAAACTATTGTCATGTAATGCTCAACATTACCTTTTTGCTGTTGTATTCCATTCCTCTGCTTATAAAAACAAAGATTCAGTTAGTTTTTTTTATTTGCTTTATCTAATGTCCTGCCATCTTAAATAACCTGCGAATTCAAGATCCTTATCCTGACAAACCAATCTTTTCTCGCATTAGCAAATCTGACCTGCTCGTACCCCATCCCTCTGTCTATCCGCTTCACTCAGCTGGCTCAGACCTGCTACACGTCCCTTGACCACTCTGCAGCATCATTAGTAGCTGTGCCTTCAGCCACTTCATCCCTAACATATGGAACTCCCTACCTCAATCCCTCTGCTTCAGACCCTTTTTATCGTTAAATCCCACCTTAAGATCCTACCTCGCGACAATGCCTACGATCACTTCTTCTGCTTCTCCATTGCTGAGCATCCAAACCTGCCTCTGTGCGACACTATCCTGTGTGACGGGCACTATTTAAATTCAACTTGTTGTGGTTGCTCACCAAGATCCCTCTACTCCTTTGCTCCACTAAAAGTGCATTTCAAAAACACTGCATGAATACACAATATTTTGCTTTTGTTTTGCTGCTTTGCAAGATTTCATTTTATATATTCTATTTTGGTTCAGGTTACAGGACTGAGAATGACTTAATCACTATACCTCCAGGCATAAATGAATACCCCTTCAGATTCATGCTTCCAAACATGTAAGAGCTGCCTTTTGTTTTACTTTCCTATGATGTGCTTCTTAGATTATAATAAACTGTATTTATACTTTTACAACAACATATTACATTTATACAGTGCCTTTCACAATGGGACAATGTCCCAATGTGCTGGACAATCAGGGATTTGGACCTGAGCAGGGGGTTGGGATCAGGAGGGATGGAGTGTAGGGATAAGAGGTTGGCCGAAGGTGCGGTCGAAGTGGGCTTCAGACGTGCCTTGAAGGAGGCAAGGGAGGGAGTGAGGTGAAGCTGTCTGTGGGATGGTGTTTCAAAGGGATGGGTCAGAGAGGCTGAAGGCCTGACCGCCAATGGTAGGATGGGCCAGGCCGAGCTGGGGCCATGGAGCAGGCTGGAGCCTGCTGAGCGGAGAGGTTGATATGGTGTTAGTAGGTCACAGAGGTAGCAAGGAGCAAGGCAGTTGAGTACTTTGAAAAAACATTTTTTTAAAACATTCCGTGGGCCAAACATTTCTGCAAACCTGTGTGTAGATTCTTGCCAACCTGCTCTCCTCGTGAGCCCCCATCATCATTCCGAGCTACTTCACCATCATTCTTGCCTCTGAATCAAAAGGTTGTGGGTTCAAGGCTATTTCTAGTAACCTGCTGGGACAATATCTCAAACTCTTCAAAAATTGATATGACATGAGAAAATATTAAGATTTTTATTCAGATTTTTATAATAAGTTAATTAGTATTTGCCCACAAAAAAAATCTGAATTTACAATAAAAAATTAATCACTTTTATTATTCTTTATAAGTCTCCATGTTACGATAAAATTCCTGAGCATTTCAAGAAGCACAAGCTTATCAGGGCCAGTCAGCACACATTTCTAAACAACAGATTAAGCAGAATCAATCTAGTGAGATTATGGAACTCACTGCCTGAAGTCGTGGTTGAATCAGATAGTGTAGATGAATTAAAGAGTGGGAGGGGAATTGAAGCGTATCGGAGGAAGTAAGGTATGAAGACTCGTGTGGAGTATAAACACCGGCAACGGACTGGTTGAGTACTACGATTTTTATCCTACAGTTGAATGTGAACAAGACTGAGGCCCTCCTGATTGGCTCGCGTCAGCATCTCTGCACCTCAGGCTCTGGCAGCATCAACCTCCATGGTTGGATACTTCAACTCACCAAGCCAGTCAGGAACCTAGGTGTCTTGTTCGACCCTCAACTGTCTTTTCTTCACCACATCCAAGCCATGACCCCCTCTGCCTTGCCTCATCTCTGTAACATCGCCCGACTCCGCCACTACCTCACCCCTCAGGCCGCTGAAACTCTTGTTCATGCCTTCATCACCTCCAGGCTCGACTATGCAAACCCCCTGTTTGTCGGCCTTCCCAACTCTTCTCTCCACAGACAGCAGATAATCCAGAACTCTGCAGCCCGTGTCCTCTCCTGCACCAAATTCCGTGTCCTCATCTCCCCCATTCTCGCCCAACTCCATTGGCTCCCTATCCTTCAGAGGATCCAGTTCAAGATCCTGGTCCTCACCTACAAAGCCCTCAATGGTCTTGCCCCACCCTATCTCTATGACCTCCTAATCCTCTACCAACCCACCCACTCCCTCTGCTGAGCCGGTTCCGGCGTGCTCCACGTCCCCCGACACACCCGCCCCACCATTGGCGGGAGAGCCTTCAGCCACTCTGCCCCCAACCCCTGGAACTCCATCCCCCAGTCACTCCGCCTCGCCCCCTCCTTAGCCTCCTTCAAGTCCAGCCTCAAAATCCTCCTCTTCAACCATGTCATCGGCCACCCCCTTCCTCTCCCCTCCCTTCTCCCCCCGACCGCAGCTCGGGTCTGAAATGCTGTACACTGTCCAGCGGCTTGGGACGTCCTCCCGACGTGAAAGGCGCTATACAAATGTAATCTTGTTGTTGTTATCTCATGATTAATTTGTTTTGATGGAGAGTTGTAGGTTCGCAGACCTTTTCACGATCCAATTTTACGAGTTAGATAGTTCAAATTAAAATTGCATGTTACACACATCTTATAATGCCTTGTTTTATGCTAACAGACTATTACCTGCTACAGTTAAAGGTGAATATGGTAATGTGAGTTACTGGGTGAAAGCCAAACTACACAGGCCAAGGAAGTTGACCATGAAAGTAAAAGAAGAATTTGCAGTTTTTGAACGCTTCATCAATTACAACCCATTGTGGATGGTAAGTGAATAACACTTACATTTGACATTATGCCTTTCTCATTGTAGGATATTTCAAAATGCTTCACAGGATTTACTGTAAGGTGTAGTGACTGTATTTTGTAGGTGAACCCAGCAGCAAGTTTTGCGCGTAGCAATGTCCCACAAACAGCCAAGAAAATAGCAAAGTGACAGATGGAAAAGGCAGCTGCGGATCTCCTGTGTTAAACATAATAGCTAAACAATTCACTCATGAATTCAGTCACTCAACAATTCAGCCTGGCAGTTTTCTGCATAGGCGCAGTTCACAGAAAGTGACGGCAGTGGCAACTTGATGACCAAAATGTCACTCATGTTAGCTTCATTCATGCTAACAAATGGCCGACATCCCGGTCATCAGGTCACTGACAATGTCAGTTTGGCAGCCTGATGATGTTGGCAATAACCAGACGACGCAGACATTTTTTGGCTTGAGAAATTAGCCAGTGTTTTAGAAGGGAATGCACAGATGGGACTCCAATTATGGTGGAGGCATATTTATATCTCCATGGAATCCCAAACAAGCAAGACACAATAATGGTCTTTATTGCACATACGTGCAGCTAGCTGACTCTCTTACTGCATATTGGACAGTCCCAGTGCTAAAGAAAAAATAGTCAACTTCCAGTTCATCAGGTTATCATCAGCAGCACTTCCCGTTTTCCGCACATGGTAAACAAGTGGGCCAGCTACATGTGTATACATACGTAGTTATCAAAGTCCAAAAGGTAACTGGATTATAAGCAAATTTGCACATATTAACTGGTATGAAAGCTTGATCATGGAAAATACAATGAAGTACGTACACTAAATTCATCTTCACCATGCTTCCCAACTCTTCCTTCCAAAGCTACGGGTTATTCAGCACTCTGCAGCTTGTGTCCTCTCCCGTGCCAAGCTCCATGACCCTATCAGCTCCAACCTCACCTGGCTCCAGAGGATCAAGTTTAAAATCCTCATCCTCACTTTTAAAGCCCTCCCAACTCTGTGGCCTACTAGCATCATACCAACCTGTCTGCTCCCTCTACTCGGCAGGCAGTGGTCTGCTTCATGTCCACCGCCCTGCCCTAATTCAGTGGTCGGGCCTTCAACTTTTCTGCCCCTATCTTTTGGAACTCCATCCGGGAATCTCTCCAACTAGCTGCTACTTCAAGGCCGGTCTCAAGACCTTCCTCTTTGACTGTGTCTTCAGCCATCTTCCCATCTCCCGACAACCCTCTTGATTCCACCTTGAGCACCTTGGGAAGCTCACTGGCTCCCTGTACTAAGGCTGGATTCAAACTGGACTTTATCAGCTGCAGCCCAGGGCCCCAGATTTTGAGGGGCCCCCAAAAAAGCGCAAGTCGTGATGACTAGTGTGCAGCGGGAGCACTGCACAGATTCTGTAATGTTCTGACCTCCCTAGTGATTGAGATTTCTCAGGAAGTCAGAGCACTATTGCGCGTGTGCTAGAAGCACATGTTCAGCTTCTGACACATGCGCAAAAGCAATCGGCTCAGCCAATAGAAAACCAAGGTAAACGACTTGAAACTCCACAACTGCTGGGACTATGAATCCCATGTTCCGGAGGGAGGTAAACATGATGATTACTAGCTGGTATGAAACCTTGGCTGTGGAAAATATAGTGAAGTATCGAGGCCATTAACATAACAAACAACAAGAAGGTGGTGATCAAAATACTGAAACCTGTCGAAAAGAAGAGGAAGATAAAGATGATTGCTCACTGACAGGTGGATGGTCCAATGAGAGTGCAGGATGTGTTAATGAACTGGCGGATGGTACAGTGGGAGCGTTTACTTGCTGTAGGTATTTGAACTGACTGTCCCCAAAACCACAACTTTAACAAACTGTGGCTGCAATTTTGATATCAAAAAATCATGAGTTTCTTACAGCCTTATTTATTTTCTATTTTTCTCTCATATTCCTTCTTAGTTTTTCTAAACTCCCTTTTTGCAGCATAAGTATCCTGAGTGACTGTCTCTCTGCCTTGATGAGGAACAAGAGTATTTCCTCTGATTTCTTTTACAGTTACCACAGGAAGCCACAAATGACAAAACTCTTTGTTGCTGGTGCTGTTCCTCAGGGCAAATATCACTCAGAGCTAAAATCGAGCAGATGGGCTACATGCAAGGTGACATTTCTTGGTGTAAAGGATAAAATGTAAAGTTTATTTTTGCATTGGGTTTCTGTGCACTATGAATTGAAGCTGGCACAAAAGTAATCCGAAACAAACTGTTTGGTTGGAGGTTTGTAAAAATCTTTAAGAAGCAGTAAAATAAGTCAACAGGGTGGTTAAATGTAGCAAAATGAGATGTGATGAGAGTGTGTGGGAGCGCGGGGGGGTGGGGGTGAAGTAGTTATTCACATTGCAATTTGTTTGTTTACTTTTGGGTATTTCTGTCAATGTCCTGAGTTTTGCACATTTGATATTGTTCCATTGGGAAAGTTCTTGCAGACAGGTTTTGTAGAAGCCTTAATGTCGTAAACTGGATCTGACAGCTTGGGGGTCTATTCAGACATAAACAGATATGGAAAATCCAACTGTCAATTGAAGGCCTGTAGAAGGCTGTGGGCCACACCCAGAAAACAAAACCTGCACAACAGTTTTAACAAATGTTTCTTTAAAAAAAAACTCTACCTTTTTACATCAAGATTCTTCTGAGGAGCCCCTTGTTTTATATTGGTGGTCAATTATTACTTAGGCATGGTGCCCAATTATATTATTATGCCCAATTCCACTTAGGGCTAGAACGCTAAACAAACTTGATTGGAGCCCAGTCCTTGTTAGCTCCCTTGATTGTGGCATCCTTTTATACATGAAAAAGTATGTGCTCCTTCACATGTAGCTTGAGCACCAATAACCATAAAAATCAGTGACAAGACCAAACACAATTTTCTTACATGATATCAGGTCACATTATGGGATGATGATCATAAACATCAAATTAAAACAAACAGATATTAAACAGGTTTATACATAATACAGGAAACAGGCTTCTTTGTTCGCAAGCAAAGGCTATTCCCAATTACCTTCTAACTAGCTTCAAATCTGGTGAGGATTGCTGCCCAATGACTCCTTCTGGAAAGAGGGCATGCCGATGTCAGGAAAGGATGTGAGCATGATTGATTTTTGATAAGTTAGCAGAAAGCTGCTGGAGTCTACTGATCTGTACCAATTTTGAGCTGCGTTCAGATAATGAGGGTGTCCCACATCAGCCATAAAGGAAACGTTAATTTTTTTTATGTGGAGGATGGTTGACTTTGACACTTGGAGAAACTCCCTTCTCTTTTCGAATAGAGTCTTAGAATCTTTAACATCCACCTGAACATGCAGACATAACCTTGGTTTATCGTCTCATCCAAAGGATATCAATGCTTTCTACAATGCAATCAATCTACAATGCTCCAGCACTGCATTGGATTGTGAGCCTAGACCATAAACTCAAAGTTCTGACATGGGGCTTGAAACCACAACTTTCTCACTCAAAGGTGAGAAAGTTAACAAGTGATCCAGGCTGACAGCAATTTTTTACAAATATCTTTCATTAAAACAATAGTTTAACAAGTGCAAATTAAAGCTCTATATAACACCAACACCACAGTAGTTACTTTTGAGTGGAGGAATAAGGTGCCATCAAGAGATATTTTTGTATCTTTTTATTGCAGATTATGAGAATAATTTTAAGATAAGGTTGTATTAGAACAGAGGTATCTGCCCTTTTTACTATCTGCTTCTTACTATAAAACAATTAGTATTTCAAAACTGTTAGAAAACTTTCTTAATAACTGCAAACAAAGGGCATTTTTCTTTGGCATGCATTAGGTTGGCACAACTCCAAAGAGGAACAATATAAGCATCTGAGGAGAAAAAAAATTAAGGGATGTAGGAAATTACTGTTAATAAAACAAAAAGGAACTCAGCAAAATAGGCACAGAGCGAATGGAACGAATAATAATCCTTATATAATATAATAATCCTTGCATTTAATATAACAACAACAATTTGGGATTATATAGCGCCCTCCACACACGGATGGTGTCTCAGAGTGCTTTTCATGTTTTCTAGACGTCTCAAAGCGCTTAAAGTGAATTGACTGTATATTTGTGGGCGAAACACAGAAGCCAATTGTGCACAGCAGTGTCCCACAAACAGTCGTGGATTGAGTGACCAATTTATTATTTTTTTTTCCTGAAGGATTATTATCAGGGGTGTGGAGTAAGGAAACTTGCCCAAGTTTTGCTCTGCTGGGAATCGAACCCAGGTCTCTCGCTTGCAAGGCGAGTGCTCTAACTACTGAGCTACAGGACTCCACAAATGGACTCCAAGAAAGGCCCTGTTCTGTGGTGACAGTTTCTTTGGAGTAATATTTACAGTAGCTTTTTAATCCATTCTATGTATTAATTTAACACAATGAATGGGTTATAAGGAATATCTGAAAAATTGTAGCTATTATAATTTGTGCCTCTGTTCCTTAATCAAGAGGTAATTAAGACTTGCCTATATTCAGAGCACTGTTCCTGGCTGCTGCTCCCACTCAGACTGCTCTTTCTGGTCAGCTGAATTCTTGTAATTGTATAAGGAGTTTTGCCTTAGAGTCATAAGATTGTGGGTTCATGCCCCACATTGAGACTTTGAGCTCAGAGTCTAGGCTAACACTCCAATTATTTCTGGAGAGTGCCACATTATGAGAGCTGTGGTCCTTCAGATGAAATGTTAAACTGACATCCCGTCTGCCTAGTCAGATGTCTTTTAAGATCCCATTAAGAAAGAGAAAGGATTTTTTCCCGGTGTCCTTGCCAACAATTCCCCTTATTAAAAAAAATGGTCAATAATGTCAAGGCTGTTTGTGGGACATTGTTTTGTGCAAACTGCACACATTTGCCGACAAATACATGGAAACTTTGTGAAGTGCTTTAAAAGATTTTCAATGCCGTAGACCTTACATCAAATGCAAACATCATTATTGGATGGTTTAAAAGTTGTAAGCACAGTTGATAAGACTTTTTTTTCCTCAAGTGATTTAGTTATTATTTTTAAATATAAATTTAGCTTATCTAATTATTGTTTTAATTTTCTCCCTGCTGGCCACTGCCTCTTTGCTCCTGGTCTGGCTTCTGTTACTGAGGTAAAGTTCCCCGAGTGCTGATTGTCTTCTGGTACCCTGCCAAATGGGCAATGCTCACATGTGAGTCTTGGCAGTGAATGCTGGCAGGTCATTTGACTGTATATGGCATCGCAGCCAAGCCCGATCTCCCCAACCAACTACATATATGTGCACAATTAGTAGCGGGACCAGGAACCTTGGCTTGTTTTCCCCGAGGAAAATCAGGGATAATTTATCCTCTCTAAGAGGTCCCAGCTGATCAGTAAACTCAGCATGGACTGGGATTTGAACTAGCGAGCTCCTGTTCCATAAATTGGCGATATTTAACTTGGTGGTTGTTTTAAAATATGATGGTTACAAAGTGTTTGTAATACACAAAATAATTAAAATGTGAGGAGTTTTTTTCAATGTTTTTTTTCCTCTCATCCTACAGGTGAAGTAATTCAAATATTTGCCGAATTTGAGAATATTTCTTCTCGTACAGTGATACCAAATGCAGTCATTAACCAAATACAGACTTTCATTACCAATAGGAAAAGTAAAATAGTATCAAAAATTGTAGCCAGACTGCAAGGAGACCCATTGCTGCCGGGAGCAACAGAAAGATGGAACGGAAAAGTTCTGCAAATTCCAACTTCACCTCCCTCTTACCTCAGCTGCAGTATAATCACCATAGAGTACATATTGATGGTAGGCTGCTTTCTTGCATTATTGGTTTGCATTCTGATGTTGTGGAAAGGCAGCAACAACAACCAAAATAAATATTTAGCACATCATGGAGCCTTCAAATTCTACACCACTAATCTCAGGAATTCTCTCCCTCTACCACTGCAGCTCACCGTATCTCGATTTTGTCTTTTAAGTTCTGCTTCAAAATGTACCTCTTCAACATATGGTCATTTCCCCCTCCCACCTCTCTCCTGCTCAGCATCTGCCCAGACTTTATAAAGTGCTCTGGGATGTTATCTGTGAAGTCCTGTAGCTTAGTGGTTAGAGCACCCGCAATTTGCCCACAAATATACAGTCAATTCACTTTACAGTATATTCTGTGAATTTGTGATTTGAACTCGCGTGTGAGGATCTTGAAATCAATCCGTTTGGTGATGGGGAGCCAGTGGAGCCTGGTCAGAACTGGTGAGATGTGGGTAAGCAGTTGCTCGGGTGTGCAGGCGGCAGAGTTCTGAATGATCTGGATCTTGTGATGGTAGAGTTGGGGAGACCGGCGAGGAGTGCGTTGGAGTAATCCAAGCAGGAGGTGATAAACGCATGCTTGACAGCTTTGGCTGCATTTGGGGTAAGATACAATCGGAGGCGGGCAATGTGGCAGAGGTGGAAGAAGGCAGTCCTGGTCAGGGACTGGATGTGGGGGATGAAGGACAGTTGGGAGTGGAACCGGACGCTTAGGTTTCACACTGGTTCAGTGAGTCTGAGGGAGAGCCCAGGGCCGTTGAAGAGTTTAGATCCGCAAGAGTGAAGACGTTGACAGGAGCCAAGGAGTATGGCTTCCATCCTGTCCTTATTCAGCTGCAGCAAGTTTACACTCATCCAGGTCTTGATGTCTGCCAGACAAGCTGATAGATCATCGGCAGACTTGGAGTCACAGCTGGAGGAGGCAAAGTAGATTTGTGCGCCATCCGCATGCATGTGGAAGTTTACCCCGTGTCTGCAGATGGACAAACCATCCAAGTGTGGTCCCACTAAGGTAGATGAGGGAACGCTCAGGAGCACTTTACAGAGACTGTGCCAGAAACCAAGCAGGGAGGGTGGGAGAGGAGGAAAGTGCTCAAAGGCACAGTCAAAAAGCTAGGTGGGGTTTGAAGACATAAAGAGATGGGGTGAGATGGAGTCCGCTTATGGAGCAATTTCTAGAGGGTCAGGTTATAGTGGCTGTATGAACTCATTTAAAATTTCTGTATATATGCTTTTTTCCTGTTGTGAAAATGATTCTCCCCCTTCTCCAAATCATACATACCCCTTTCCTGCCACAAAGGTGTGAAGATAACCTGTTCCTAATCCAATGCCTCTTTGTAACTTGCTTGTTTTTTCGTTTTTATGGAGATGTCACTATCTTCTCTGAAGTTTCACTACAAGTGATGAAATATATCATGGGGTAAAATTTGCAGCATTCCTTAACTTATTTAACAAATGTTTTAGGGTTTTTAAAGGTAATTGTGGTGGCTTCCTTTTGGCTCAGGTAAATATCAACTATGTATAAGCCATTGAAATCAGGAAAGACAGGCCAATCCTAGCAATGTCCTGATGGATTGTAAAATTTGGTATCAATATCCTCAGATTTGGTAAAGGAAGAGAATATAACTTGATAGGGCTTCCACTCATTGTGACTTTTTTTCCTATACGTGTGTGTTTTGGACTTTGAGTAAGGAAGATCTCAGGTCTGGCTATGACAGATAGTTTGAAGCACTCTGGGATACTACCTCATGGGTAAAGCACTATATAAATGTAAGTTGTTATTGACTCGTTCACTGGCTGCAATGTTGGAACAACCCATTGACAAGAATAGTGATGACACCCAAAGAACAATAATTAATTGGGTGAAGTACTGAAGAGTCTCTCACACTTGAGGAATTGTAACCTCTCATAACAGCCATGTCTTCAATAGAGGAGCAAATAAAGGAGCAAAGTGAGAAAATGTTGTAAGGGTGGAGGAACATTCTCTGCCTTGTAATGGTGACAAATTGTAATACTTGCTTGTTTCATTTTAGGTTTACCTATTTATCCCTTCAGCAATAGATTTGAAGGTTAATTTGCCACTTGTTATCAGTTCGGTCCCGTTATATCCTTTCAACAACAGTGGGGGCCAGCAGCCAATGTGATATTAACAGGAACTGGCTGTTCCTCACACTGACACAAACACCTGAAGGTAAGAACTGCTTCTGGCAAAAACATCCATTACAGAACACTTAAGCTTTTCAGTATTAGAGTAAGATTTAATGTCATTAATGAAATGAAAGTGACCCACTTCATTGAATGTAGTGGCTGTAACTTATATCCTAGAGATAGCAAAGTACTGGCTGACCCTGTTAGCAAAAGATCACACGATTGGCTTAGATGAATAAGACCCTTTGGCCCATCTGATCTCAACCATCTTTTTATCTGCTAAAGCAGATAAAAAGCTGCTTTTTAAATGAGTCCAGTGTCCTGGCCTCAACCACCATTTGTGGCAACATGTTCTAGTTGTTAACTACCCTCTGAGTGAAGAAAAGCTTCTGGTATCTATTGCAAAATTGCGCTTTGCAACTCTAAACATAATGTGCTTCAGTGTAGCGCTAGCGCCAGATTACAGCATGACCAGCCAGGTGATACACCTCTGGTTTCCAGCTTTTAAATGCTGCCAATGTCACTTCCTGTGCAATCTACATACATGCTATGTACAGGAAGGGCTGCACCATATTAATGTAGGGTCTGAGATTACACACCTAAACCACCATGTCACAACAGGGTCGGTCTGTATTTGATATATTTATTAAATCTGCTACTTGGATAGATAAGGAACCAGTTAAACATATTTGTTGAATATTTAATTTCTGGCAATGATTGTCAATGATGATGACTTTACCAGGTGTTGGGATAATCCTTTGTTAAATTTTGACACCTGCAGCGTTCTGAGACTTTTCAATTTCAAAGTAAATTTAATTGTAAATTTTAGCTGCCCAAGAGACTAGTAAACTAACTTATATTTTTGTTAAATATTTATTTTCTAGACTTGATCTGTGAAAAAGTGGAAAATGATTTTGCTGGCACTGAAATAACTTCTTGTCAAAGAAAAAAACAATTTCTACTGAACCTTCTTAATTCTCCCCAAGGCCTTGTCATCTTTCCTTAAGTAGGGCACCCAGAACTGGGCACAATATGCCAAACCATGGCCAAACCAATGATTTACAATGTTGTGAGTCCTTGGGAAGTACCATATTTCTTGCAATCTCAAACTGCAGGAGAAACCAGGGATAAGGAGATGGTTCGCCTTTTGTCCTTCTACATACTGCAGATTCAAGCAAAGATATCTTCTTTCATTTGACTGTGGCCTTTTTGAGAATCCTGCCAAAGTGGTGTAGTCCTCTAAAGTTTTATCAGACCATCTGCTTTATATTTCTTTGGAAGAGTTGGAAGAGATTCTGTAGTACCAGTGATGTCAAATACCTTCCTCTTCAAAAATAAATGCAACAGATTCCTTGGAGGCAACAGATTTTGGTTTTTGGATAGAACCAAAGTTTCATTTAGATTTATATAGATTTTTGACTATAAAGGTGTGAATAATGGAAATGCCTAAAGCCAACTGAAAACAATGTGACCCTCATTGCAGTGTCCCGAGGTGAGGCCAATGTTTAGAAGCCAAAACAGCATTTCCGCAGCTGTTTGAAAAGTTATTGATTTAGCAAAGTCATAATTTTGTAAAGTGACCACGAGAGGCTGAGATCCGGAATCCATTAAGCTGCTGAAAAAAGTAAATGATCCAATCAGTGTTTTGGTTGTAGACTGGAGATTGCTATATTTGTACTTCACAGCCACCATATTTGTATGCTGTATTTGTCTGAAATCTTACCTGATTGGGCCCAGCAGCACAGATTCACTGAAAGCAGCCTCACTAGATGGTAATCCAAGATGGCAACTCACACCATCTTCAGCCAGTTTGGGCATGACAGTTATTCAACAATCATGTGGAGGGGAATATTTCAATGCACATTTTAACATTTCTTAATTAGGAAATAGAATGTATTTAGGACTACCGCGTTTGCTTATAATATTTAACAATGTAGCTACAATTGTGCAATTAATTTTGCTAAGGGATATAGGAAACTGGGTTTAATAATAAAAAGGTGATAACAGAGGTTGCAATGGTGCAGACATGATGAGCCAAATGTAACCTTTCAGTGCTGGAAATTTCTGTTTCGATCACGTTTTGCTCTTCATTATGTCTTATTAATAAATTGAAACTCCCAATTCTCAAACATTCCCAGTTTGAAATGTTTCAAGCTGACTTCCAATCCATTCACAGCAATGCATCCAACTTGATCATAGTCAGCAATGGCATTCTGTCTGTCTGCGACTGGGTCTTGCTGTTTTTCCTTGTCCACAAGACCTCTCTGTAATCATTGATACTGTCATCCATTTCATTCTCCTAAATCATCTCTTCTCTTTGGTCCACTTCTATGGCACTCATTTTGATTTGCATTATTAACTTAATGCCTCCATGCTGTCTAATCCCACAGTTTCACATCCTGTGCCCATATTATCACTTTTGCTGTACCCCATTGCTGTCTTCTTGGTCTTGTATTTCTTCTCTGTTTGCTTCCCATTGGTGACATCGTCTACAGGCATAAAGTTTGTTTCCACATATATGCCAATGACATCCAACTCTACCTCTTCACTTCTACCCTAAATTCCAGGATTGGCTTGTTCTGGCTCCTTGTCAGTAGTCATTGGATATGCCTTAACTTTTAACTAAACCTCAACAAAACTGAAAGCACCTCAATCAGCTCTCACCAGCGCCTTCTCACTTTTGGCTTCAAATCTATTAATCTCTCTGGCTGCTCACTCAGGAATAAACAGCAAGTCTGCTACCTTGAATCCATTGGTTAGAATACCTTTTTCAGCTTTAGAGCATTGCCCATGTGCAGCCTTACCTCATGCTGCTCGAATTCTCCTTGATGCTTTCAAGTCAAGAATAAACTTCTAATTCTATCTTCATCAGCCTCTTAAGCTCCATCCTCCACCAAAACAGCCAATATTCACCTCCACACTAGGTTCTGCACACGCATTTCTTACTGAGTCCCACCAGCTTGCAATACCCCAGCTAACTGACTTTAGGCCCTTGTTTTGAGCTTCAAATCCCTTTACACACACTAGAAATGCAACCTACACTGACCCCACTCACCTGACTGTATGCTGTGATTCTTGTCTAATGTTTCTCAATCCTACTGTTCTACTATTAGTGACCAAACCTTCAGGTATCATGCCTTCCTTCTGGAATTCTCTTCCAAAATCTTTTTGCCTCATTTCCTTTTTCACTGCGTTCAAAATCTTCCTAAAGCATATAAATAGAATACAATGGAAATGACATTTATATTCATATTGGGAGGATGTACAAGACTCTGGACAGTCCAAGGTTTGCACTTGAGCTGGAGTTAGGGAGCGAGGGTGCAGGTATGACAAATATCTTTGTGATCTTGCTTTTGGTCAGCATCACTGCCGTTCTTGGTGTTTGCTGGTACAATTGGTACATGTTTTGCATTTATGAAGTTTATTCTACGTGAAAGACGAAGTATAAGTTAATTCTATGTGAAAGGCGATGTATATTGCTATTTTTCCCTTTGCTTCATGATTGTCTCTTACAAAGCTTCTTCTTCCTTCCCAACTATTATGAAGTCAATAGGAATTTACAGTGGGAAGAGGGACAGAGATGACCTGGACAAGATTGCCTGAGTCCATAGATTGGTCCTTTTATCATTCATAGATACATGTGATTCAACAAATGTGTTACTTCTTTGACATATTCTGAATAAAGTAATGAAGTCCTCAAGTTTGATTGTGCACATGTGGTTTTATTGTTTGTTTTATTACTATCTTGGTGTATTAAAAATATGGTGGCATCATCCCAACACATTTACATCATCACAATACAACACTATGTTCATGTGACGGAATTTCGACTCCACACTCTGACCCAAAGTTGGAAGTTATTGATTAAGTCATTGTAAGATCTCATTGTAAGAAAGAATAGAGCTGTACTATTATCTATGATAACCTGGAATCTTTCAAACAAAAATGCCTTATTCATTAGACATAAAAGAGTTAAGTTGCACTACAGCAATTTCCTCTCAATTCTGCTCCTTTTTAATTTCCTTTGTACAAACTCAGATCATTCTTTGTGCCAGGTTACTGTAACTGGTATGAGTAATGGATACATATCGACTTCAAGATCCTCACCCTTGTCTTCAAACACCTCCACTCCTCTGCACGCCCTTACCTCTCTCCTCACAACAGTGCCCATTGCCTTCGCTTCACCAGGTCTGGCCTCCTCTTTGTCCCCTGAATCCTCCTCTCCACCATCGGTGACCGTGCCTTCAGTCACTATGCCCCGAGGATCTGGAACTCCCTTCCTCACTCCCTTCGCCTCACCCCCTCTCTTCCTATTTTCAGGTCTCGGCTTTTCGACCGCGCCTTTGGTCACCTTCCTTCCCCTCCCTCGGCCCCGGGATTCGTTACTGTGAAGTGCTCTGAGACACTGTCCAGCGTGGAGGGTGCTATATAAATTCAAGCTGTTGTTGTTGCTGCATATCAGGACAAATAAATAAATAGAGATTACAGAAGACTAGATTTTATATGAAAATATATTATTAAAACAGATTCATGGTGAGTTACAGATGTAAAATTTAAGGATTGTGTAGTTCACTTTTGCTTGCCTCTTCAAAGTGCAGAAGAAATAGCCATGGCAGTCTTAATTATACATATTTTTGCAGAAAAACAATAACAACTTACATTTATATAGCGTCCTTCGGGTAGTGTCCCGGAGCGCTTGATAGTGGTGGAGTCTGACCCCACCTGTTTCATAATAAACAAAATTATCATACTTCAAAAATCATACATTCAAAAATATCTGGATTTTTTTTCAAGAAACTATTTGAACTAATTCTCAATAAATTCTAATATCATTTCATATGATATCTTCACTGATGCGATCTTCTTAGGCTGGTTTCATTGACCTGGTTGAATGCACTGTTACCACCCATCATATGAATGTGGGCTCCCACCACATTCTGATCAACATCACCAATGTGACAATGTCCTGCACCATCTTTATTGATGCCATTTTGCTGGGGTAACTTGCTGTGAAGGAGAGTTGTTCTACATTACACATTAGTTGCTGCAGACCCTTTCATGATCCAGTTTTGCAAGTCAACTTAACATTGTGTTGCCCTTTGCTCACCTTGCCTGTTTTTTTCTCCTCACAGACTCTGCCTAACTCCTTTGAAGTCATATTTGGCAGTGTTACAGGGTAAAAACAACCACACAAGCAATTGGACATGGTGAAGGAACAGTATACAGCCTTTGAGATTATTAACATTAACACTCCATTGCTGGTGGTAAGTACATAGAAAGGTTAGAGTGCAAATTATCATTTCAATAAATTGGCCAATCCTAAAGTTATCCAACATTTTTTTAAGGGGGTCAGACCGATGTCTTGACTGAAGCATTGAATGCAGTGTGTGGCAAATTCCTGTTTCTTGTCACGCATGGATCTGTTAGGGCTTTGACAGAGTGGGTTATCCTTGCCCTCAGATACCTCCAGTGAATAGGCTGGCTGAGCTATTATCAGAAATGCCCTGGAGTACTGCAGCCTCACCTGCCTCAGGAACCAGACATTCAAGATTGCAACAAAGGATACACTCAAAGCTGATATTCCGTTGCCAAGCATGCCTGTCACCCTGGAGCCAGCTCAGCTCCAAGGAAACCCTGCTTACCTCCCCAAAAAAGAAAAGTCACTAGTTGGTCTTTTAACAATTGACAAACACAGGTTTGAGTCCTCACCAGGTTGGTAACAGGAATCAGGAACTGGGTATTCTTGATGGACTTCTAGATTTCATAACTTATAAAATCCTTTCATGAAATACTGCAAATTATACCGCTGTTTAGAGTGGAAAAAGGATGTCCTCCCAACGTGAAAGATGCATTACATAAATGAAATTTGTTGTTGTTACCTATTGAATCATGTGTTTTTCAAAACATTTTACAAAGTATATCACCATGATTATATGGTAAATATGTTATTGTAGAAGAAATAATGAGTTAAAACAGTTCCTTAAAATACAGATTTATATAAAGGCATAATAAAGATTTTGACATTAAAGTTCATTAAAGGAACACTATATTGTGGGATGCTGTTATGAACATAAGATATCAATTGTCATTGTGGTTCGTTCTACCAGTTGCTGTTATTGTTCCATATTATTGTCCCTTTGTATTATTTGGATACGCAAAATTGATTTGGATCAGAGTCATTGATTTTTGATTCATATATCCAGGGTTTTGTATCTGCCTTTAATGGTGTACAGCAGCTGCTGCAAACTGGGAGATCAAGAGCTCAATAGGTATGTGCGTGTGTATGTGTGTGGATGTGGTTTGTGGGCAGAAGGATGGCGATAACGCTCATGCATTTCCTACTGAGTTGTGCTATTCACTACGAGGCTATCCACCTAGTGAGAGCTCAAACCTACACTTGTCAAGTGTTGAATGTCCAACAAATGGCAACTTCTGTGGGGGATGGGGTTAAGGATCGTGGCTACTCCAACAACAACAACAACAAGATTCCATTTATAGAGCGCCTTTCACGTCGGGAGGACGTCCCAAGGCGTTGAGTCAGGACCCGAGCAGGGGGGAAATGGTCAGGGTGAGGGGAGGGAAGGGAGGAAGCGAGGAGGGGGTAGAGAGTCGAGAGGGGAGCTGAAGACACGGTCAAAGAGAAAGGTCTTGAAACCGGCCTTGAAGGAGGAAAGGGAGGAGGCGGCGAAGGCACGGGGGATGGAGTTCCAGAGTCTAGGGGCTGAAAGGCTGAAGGCCCAGCCACCGATGGTAGGGCGGTTGGAGCGGGGGATGTGGAGCAGACCGGAGCCAGAGGAATGGAGGGTACGGGCAGGTAAGTAGGAGGATAGTAGGTCGGAGAGATAGGAGGGAGCAAGGCCGTGAATGGCCTTGTAGGTGAGGATGAGGATCTTGAATTCGATCCTCTGGGGGATGGGGAGCCAGTGGAGGCGAGCGAGGGTGGGAGTGATGTGGTCGCGAACCCTGGTGTGGAACAGTACACGAGCTGCAGAGTTCTGAATGACCTGCAGCTTGTGGAGGGAGGTGCCGGGAAGGCCGGCGAGGAGAGAGTTCCCATAGTCCAGCCTTGAGGTGATAAAGGCGTGGACCAGAGTTTCAGCAGCATGAGGGGTGAGGTAGTGCCGTAGTCTGGCGATGTTTCAGAGATGATGGAAGGCGGTGCCAGTTGTGGCGCGGATATGAGGAAAAAAGGACAGCTCAGGGTCGAACAGAACCCCGAGGTTCCTGACTGGCTTTGAGATTTGGAGAGTGCAGCCTTGGATGCTGATGGTGTCAGTGCCTGAGGTGTGGAGGCGCTGACGCGAGTCAATCAGGAGGGCCTCAGTTTTGCGCACGTTGAGTTGAAGAAAGTTGTCTCTCGTTCAGGACTCGATATCAGACAGGCAGGCTGTCAGGACATCAGTGGTCATGGAGTTGAGAGTAGAGGAGGAAAGGTAGAGTTGGGTGTCATCCACATACATGTGGAAGTTAACTCCATGTCTGCGGATGATGTCACCAAGGGGGAGCATATAGAGGGTGAAGAGAAGGGGACTGAGGACAGAGCCTTGAGGGACACCACAGTGCGAGGGCTGGAGGAAAAGCCATTTGTGGAAACAAAATGAAGATGGTGGGAGAGGTACGACCTAAACCACTTAAGGACAGGGCCTTGAAGGTTGAGGTGGGAGGACAAAACGGTGGAGGAGGATAGCGTGGTCGACCGTATCGAATGCTGCCGATAGGTCGAGGAGGACGAGGAGGCGGAGGGAGCCCTGGCCGCAGATGATCAAGATGTCATTGGTGACCTTGACCAGGGTGGTTTCTGTGCTATGGGCAGCACGGAAACCCGACTGAAGGGGTTCGAATAATGCATGCGTGGAGAGGAAAGAGCGCAGTTGGGAGGCGACAACTCTTTCAAGGACCTTGGACAGGAAGGGTTGGAGATAATAATAATAATAATAATAATCCTTACATTTGATATAGCGCTTTTCACGTTGGGAGGACGTCCCAAAGCGCTTCACAGAACACTGTAAAGTGAATTGACTGTATATTTGTGGGCGAACGCGGCAGCCAATTGCGCACAGCAATGTCACACAAACAATCGTAGATTGAAAATGACCAATTTATTATTATTTTGGTTTTGGAGGGATTATTATTATTAGGCTCTGTGTGGAGTAAGGAAACTTGCCCAAGGTTTCGCCCTGCCTGGAATTGAACTCAGGTCTCTCACTTGCAAGCGAGTGCTCTAACCACTGAGCTACAGGACTCCAGATGGGCCGGTAGCTTGATAACTGTGACGCATCAAGGGAGGGTTTTTTCAAAGAGGGAGTGATGATGGCAGTTTTTAGGGGAATGGGAACAGAGCCAGAGGTGAGGGACAGGTTGATGATGTCTGTGATATGTGGGGCAAGGAGGTGGAGCTGAGAGATAAGGAGTGGAGTGGGGATGGGATCAAGGGAGCAGGTGGTGGGTTCCAGGGACAGGATGAGTTTGGTGACAGAGGGTGGGGAAACGGGTTCGAAGGTGTGTAGGGGAGGATGGGTATGAGTCGGAGTGTGGGAGGGAAGGGGTGGGTGGTGGGTGGAAGTTGGAGGGGGAGTGAACGCGGAGCGGATTCCCTTGATTTTGGATTCAAGGAAATCCAGCATCTCCTCGCAGTTATAGTTGGAGGAGATGACCTGCGCGGGGTGGCGGGGGGGACGGAGGAATCAGGATGTGGTAGAAAACAGAAGCCTGGGGTTGTTCTTCGCCTCCAGGATTATCCTGGAGTAGAAGGACGACTAGGCCCAGGCTAGAGTGGAGCAGTAGATTTTGAGGAGGTCCAGCTAGATTTGTCGGTGGACAGTTAGGCCAGATTTGAGGCAGGTGCATTCAGCGACCCGCACCTGGCTCTTCAGTGAGCGGAGGTGGGTGGTGAACCAGGGGGTAGAACGAGAGTAGGAGACAGTACGGGAGGTGATGGGGGCAAGAGTGTCGAGTGTGGAGGAGAGGATGTTGTGGAGGAGGGTGAGAGCAGACGAGGGATCGGTGAGGGTTGAAGGGCAGAGGGAGAGGAGTTCAGAGGATTCCAAGGCAGCGGTTAGGGATTGTGGAGGTAACTTCTTCCAGGGGCGGTAGAAGATGGTGGGTCTGGTGGAGGTGGGGAGGGGGGTGGAGGTGGTGAAGGAGGTGAAGTGGTGATCGGAGACGGCCTTGTCGGTGATGGTGACATCCGAGACACTGAAGCCCCGGGTGATCACCAAATCGAGTGGGTGGCCGTGACTGTGAGTGGTGGAGTTGATGTGGTGGGAGAGGTTGAGCGAGGAGTGGAGGGAGGAGAAGTCCGAGGAGATGGAGCAGGAGGGGGTGAAGTGCAGGTTGAAGTCGCCCAGGATGATGAGGCGATCAGAGCAGAGGCAGAGAGATGTAAGTAGGGTAGAAATATCGGAGATGAAGGTGGGAGAGGTTTTAGGGGGCCGGTAGAGGAGGAGGATTTTGAGTGAGAGGAAGGAGGGGTGGGAGAGGGTGAGGTGCTCAAAAGAGGGGAAAGAGCCAGAGGAGTAGGGGGATAGGGCAAGTGGTGTCCTTGAGATAAGGGCTACACCACCGCCACGGCGGTTGGGGCGAGGGATGTGGTGGGAGGTGTAGCCGGGTGGTGTGGCCTCCGTGAGGGGGAAGGTGTCACCTGGGGTGAGCCAGGTTTCTGTTAAGGCCATGATGTCAACGCTCTCATCAAGGATGAGATCGTTGATGACCAGGGCCTTGTTACAGAGGGAGCGGACGTTTTGTAGTCCGATGTGGAGGGAGCGGTTGACAGAAGGGTGTGTGGGAGGGAGGGGGTCCAGGTTGTGAGGCAGGGGTGGGGGAATGGGGATGAGGGAGGAGAGGTTGGCTCCCCGGGTCTGTGTCCGGGGTGGCTGGCGAGTGTGGTGGGGAATGGGGCAGTCGGTGTGGCTGCTGCTGGACAGCCAACGCCGAGTGCCACGGTGAGCCCGGCGGAGGATTCCCGGGCTGGAACAGAGGGAGGCTGTGGGATGGTCAAGTGGGGATAGAAGGCGAGGGGGACGGAGAGAGAGGAGGACAGGGCGGGAGAGATGCAGAGGGGGGAGGGTTTGGGGGGAGAGAGGAGGGGTGGAGGGAGGGGGGGAAGGTCAGAGCGGCAGCCATAGTGCGCACGCGGGGACCGGGAGCAAGCGGTCAGGTGGATGGCATTTGCCCATAGGCTGGGGCTGGGGCTGGGGCAGCCAACCCAACAGGACCATGGTGGGCCCTGCTGCGAGCCCCGGGGGGAGGGGGTGGGCGCAGAGGGTTTTATTTTGCGCTCGCACACTCCTGCAACTAAACTATGACGTCAGTGGTTCCCCCGCTCCGCGCCCCCACAGTCCCTCCCCCCAGGATGGCTGCACTCCCTGCCGCCTTGTGCTTTATACTACATAAAAAGAAAGCCAGCAACAAAACACAGATGATCCTGTTCCTGACTTCAGTTGGGTATTTTTCAGTCAGGAAACGCCCAAAAAAACAAATGTCTTCACAAAAGGACGAAACAAGCCGAAACACAACACCAGCTCTAGATTGCCAAGGCGGAAGCAGAGTGAAGTGACTCACAGGAGAATTAGGAGGAATTTTTCCACAACAAGCTGCCAGCTTTAGAACAGACTAAAATCGGGTTTACAAACTCTGTCTATCCTGACCTCCGACAGTGTTTATTGTTTCACTGATTGTGTCTGCAGCTTTTACACCCAGTGCTTCAAATCAATCAACTTCACTTCAAGATCTTTGATTCTATATTTTTTTGTTCCGATCGTCATGGGAAAGGTGAAGGTTTTTGCAATAATCTACGATGGTTTTATTGACAACATTGCCCCCATGTTCACCAGTGGAGATTTAGTCTCTGGACGGGTTATTATGGAACTTTCTGATGAAATCAAGGTGAAATCTCTTAAGATCCATGCCAAAGGTCATGCCAAAGTCAGCTGGACAGTAAGGAAAAAGAAAGGCTCCAAGACCCACAGTAGAGTTTACCACCAAGAAGTGGAATATTTGAATCACAAAGAAGTGTTAATCGGACATGGAGTAGGTAAGTTATAATTTTTGTGGGTCACCTGGATGTCTGACACATGTGGAAACTCGTCACCGTGCCTCAGAGTATGGGGAAACAGAGCTTAGTATTGGTGAGTATGCGGACAGTAGAATTTTGGATTAGCTGGACCCTGTGCATGGTAGAGCTGGGGAGACCAGCGAGGAGGGCATTTGAATAGTCGAGGGGGGAGGTGCCGAACGTGTGGACAAGTGTTTCGGCTGTATCTGGGGTAAGGTACGGTCGGAGATGGGCAATGTGGCGGAAGTGGACGAAGGCTGTCCTGATCAGGGATCGGATGTGAGGAAGGAAAGATAGCTGTGGGTCGAATCTGACGCCGAGATTACGCACTTATCGAAATATCACTCCTTCCTCTTGGGTTTTTGAAGAAAGGCAACAATGCCCCCTATTGGTGATCGACAAGTTGGAGACCACTGCTATACGGAGATGGGAGCTATCAATCATGGTCAGCTCTTTATTTCTCTTTCATGAGATGTGCCAGATCTGGCATTTTCACCCAAGTCAAACATTTCTGCAGATAACCAATAAGGTGTAATCCAGGAAGTAGAGCACGCATAACAATCCCAAAACACTTGCAAATGTTGCTTTTCATTTTACCATTTCAAGAATAAATGCACAAAGAGGTCAAAGTACACATTGCAAATAATAATAATTTCCGTGCATTTGGATTAACGCCTTTTCAAGTTTATTGTCGAGACGTCTCAAAGTGTTTCACAGAGTACACTGTAAAGTGTTACAAACACTCTGGGAAGCTATCCTGCATGATGAACGGTCTGTAAATGCAAGTTGTTGTTGTAAAGTGGAGTGATTGTATTTTGTGGGCAAAACAGGGCAACCGTGTTTGAAATACTGGATTTTTTTCATGAAAATCAAGTTGTGCAATAATTTTTGTTAAACTAAGGTGAGGTCTGGAAATATCAAAGCCTTGGGCAAGAACAACAGTGATACATTGGCCTGTAGCCATTAGTCTGAGTCCTGTAACTCAGTGGTTAGAACAGTCGCATCGCAAGCGAGAGCCTTGGTTTAATTCCCGGCAGGGCCATATCTTGGGCAAGTTTCCTTACTCCACACGCCTGATAATAATCCCTCAAGAAAAAAAAACAATAATTAATTGGTCACTCAATTCACGACTGTTTGTGGGACACTCCTGTGCGCTATTGGCTGCCATGTTTCGCCCACAAATATATAGTCAATTCACTTTACAGTATATTCTGTGAAGTGCTCACAGAGGTCTCTGGCCTGCACTAATGTGTCAGTTTATTTGTCAAAGTCCATCACATGAGGACCTGGATTAAGCAGCTGGTGCTGAGTAACCCCTGAGCAAGTGTTATTGGACTTGGACCTCAAGAACTTCAAAGTGGCTGGCATATTATAAGCTGTCCTGTAAAGGTTCTCCCACCACACTGAAGGGGCAGATTCCTATCAACTAGGGTGGTCCTAGCTGGACAAGCAGGGGGAAAGCTTGTCAGATAATAATAATAATAATAATAATCCTTGCATTTGATATAGCGCTTTTCACGTCGGGAGGACGTCCCAAAGCGCTTCACAGAACACACTGTAAAGTGAATTGACTGTATATTTGTGGGCGAACGCGGCAGCCAATTGCGCACAGCAATGTCCCACAAACAGTGGTAGATTGAAAATGACCAATTTATTATTGTTTGGTTTTGGAGGGATTATTATTAGGCTCTGTGTAGAGTAAGGAAACTTGCCCAAGATAGTGCTTTCAATGGCAAATAATCAGTTTTAGTTCGTCTGACTCCAGCAGTACGGACTCTGGACACCCCAACTTTTGGCCCTTGCCAACCTGCGCCTAATAATTTCTGGATTTATATAAGAAGGATGCGGCCATCCAGGAAGAGAGTGCACATTTGCTTCCAAAAATATCTCAGGAATTTCCATATGTAGGTGGCATGCATGGAACACTCAGTTTGGTTCGGATACTCTTAATAATAATAATAATCCTTGCATTTGATATAGCGCTTTTCATGACTTCTAGACGTCCCAAAGCGCTTCACAGAATATACTGTAAAGTGAATTGACTGTATATTTGTGGGCGAACGCGGTAGTCAATTGCACACAGCAATGTCCCACAAACAGCCATGGATTGAAAATGACCAATTTATTATTGTTTTGTTTTGGAGGGATTATTATTAGGCGTGTGGAGTAAAGAAACTTGCCCAAGGTTTTGCCCTGCCTGGAATTGAACTCAGGTCTCTCACTTGCAAAGCGAGTGCTCTAGCTACTGAGCTACAGGACTCCACCTTAAGTATAGTGATGGATTTCCTGTTGTATCAGACATTCAGCAGACCCAAAAAAATGCTGATACTCAAGTGCAGTGCTGGGCACTGTTTTACCTGCAGTGTCAGGCCACCTTTAATAATCCTCATATCTGCACACCAAGGTACCTCTAGTCCTCTGCTCCATTTAAAATCTTACCATTTAAGATGGACTTTAAGAACACTGCATTAACTCATAATATTTTGCTTTTGTTTTGCTGCTTCACAAAATCGCATTTTATATCCAGTATTTTATTTTGGTTTAGGTGACTTCACTGAAGATGTCACAACTATGCGTCCTGGCAGATATGAGTACCACTTCAGATTCATGCTTCCACAGGCGTAAGAGCTGCATTTTTGTTCTACCTTTATAATTTATCGTTGAATTTTCTTTGTGTATTACACATAGATGTAAATGTGCTTAAATGTGCTTAATTATTGGAGGTTCCTTTGTTGGATGCATTATTAAACTGCCTCCCTGATCAGGTGAATATTAAAGATGCAATTACATTATTCAGAATAAGAAGGGAGTATTTCCTGGTAAACTAGCCAATATTAATAAATAAATAACCCTTACATACCGAGGAAGGTGGGAGAGGGAGGGGAAAAGATGACCAAATGCACGGTCAAAGATTTAGGCCTTAACGTGCCTTGAAAGAGGGGAGGGAGGGAGGGAGTTGGAGGGACTCCAGGAATGGAGCTCTAAGGAGTTGGAGCAAAATGCCGATGTTGGGGCAGATGGGACAGGGGGGACATGAAGCAAGTCAGTGTTTGCTGGGCAATGGGAATGGCCGGGTCGGGAGGTTCGAGAATGATGGACGTAGAGGAGTGTTTCACTGGGGAAAGAGGGAGCTTTCTGTGAGGAAACTGCACAGCACAATGTCTCTCTTCAGTCCCCTTCACAGCGGCCAAGAGAGCAGTGGTCGTCTGTCCTGACAATGAACCACAAAAGACTTCTCTCTCTGCTCTCTCTCTCTCACTGTCTTTGTTCCTGTCTCTTCCCCTCCCTCATACATTCTCTTTCTCTCAATCACTCTCTCCTTCTCTCGATCACTCTCTCTCTCTCTCTGTACACTCGCACACATTCTCTCTCACACACTGCCACACACTCTCCCACTTTCTCTTTCACACATACTCTCCCTCGCCTCTGAATCACTCTCTGCTCTCTCTCCCTCCCTCTCTCGGTTTTATTCTACCCCTTTCTCTCATGCTCTCTCTCTCCCTCTCTGTCAATCACTCTCTCCCCCACCTCCCAACCCATCTCTCACACATTCTCTCCCTTACGCTCTCATAACTCTCTCTCAATATCTTTCTCTCTCTCCTCTCTCCCTTCCCCCTTCTCTCTCTCTCTCTCTCTCTCCCTCCCTCTCGCAATCTCTCTGTCTCTTTCTCAATCACTATCTCTCTGGTATGCAGCAGCGTTTGGTAAATAAGCAGTTGGTAAGAGACGGCATGAGCTCCTGACACGGCCGGTATTATTTCCATGCTCCACTCTGCATCCTCCCAACCACCAGTTCCTGCTGCTGCGGTGAGAGAACAGGAGAGAGGGAGCGAGTGGCCCGAAATTGGAAATGGTCTCAGGCTGGATGAAATCACCTGCCATCCGGATGCAACCAGTGGGCCACCTGTTGGACCACGGTGACGTAAATTAACATTGTGCATTACGCATGTCTTTTTATGCCTTTTGTTTTTTTGCTAACAGACCATTACCTGCTACATTTAAAGGCTTATATGGCAAAGTGGAATACACGGTAGAAGCTAAACTAAACAGGCCATGGAAGCTGAGCTTCAGCGTGGAACAACCTTTGCCAGTTTTTGAACGCATTGATATTAACCATCCACTGCTTCTGGTAAGTGAATGGGAAAGTGCAGAATGGAAAAGGTAACTGTGGATATTCTATGCTAAATATAGCACCTGCTGAATTCACTCTTCAAATTGCTGACACAGTCTGCTTCAGTGCTTTCCTTGATTATCCCTACCACATATTCACAAGATCACAAGATAAGTTCAGAAGGCCGTTTGTTCCTTTTCATTTTCATTTAATTGATCATTCACTCCATGGCTGTTTGCTATGCGCAAATTGGCTGCTATGTTCACCCACAAAAATCTTAGTTGCTCCACTTTACATTATATCTTGCGAAGAGCTTTGGGATACCCTCCTGATGTGAAAGGCACTATATCAAACGCAAGAATTATTATCTTTCCAGAAAAAAAAACCTTACTATCTTTACATCACAGCACCAATGTTTTTTTAAGTGTGTCCAGGATCCTGGCAACCTGCTCCAGGTTTCAGTTACCCTTTGGGTAAGGATATACTTCCTGGTTTCTGTTATGAAATTGCCCTTTGCAACTGTAAACATACGTCTCCCTCCTTTTATCCTTCTGTAGCAGTCTTCAAGTCCCATCTTAAAACTTAGTATTTTCAATTATGCATGTTTGTCTTGTTTATTGCTACCTCACATTATTATAATAAGGAGAACAATGAGTCACACCTAGACATTTTTCAGCTTCCCCCTTGGCAACTTCTATCCCATTCATAGAGTACATGTGATCCCTATTTAACTTCCTTCATGAAGTACTTTGCATTTATCTATATTAAATTTTATTTGCTGGTTATTGGCCATGTGTATATCCTATCAAATTCTCTTTGCAAGCCCTTTGCTCAAGTGCAAACCCTCTAATGTCCAGTGCCTTGGGACGCCCTTCCAATGTGAAAGGAGCTATATAAATGCAATTTGTTGCTGTTATTTGCTGCTTCCTCGTATTCCACAGTTCTCCCCTACTTAGTGTCATCTGCAAATTTAATTACCTTACATTGTGTCTATAAATCCAGGTAATTCAAAGAACAAGAGGGGTCCCAGCGTAGACTCCCGAGTACCCCCATTTAATCTTTCTCCACATTTTGACCAGGTCACAAATCCAAACTGTTTGCTTACCTGCTTTGTCCTGAGCTTGATTCTGTGCCATTTACAACAACAAAATTATATTTATAGAGTGCCTTTCAAGTCGGGAGGACGTCCTAAAGTGCTGAACAGTCAGATGTCGGGGCCCGAGCATGGGGGAGGGGTGCTGTAAGGTTGAGGGAAGGCAAAGAGGTGGGAGGAAGACCAAAGGCACGGTCGAAGAGAAGGGTCTTGAGACCGGCCTTGAAGGATGCTAGGGAGGAAGCGAGGTGAAGGGACTGCGGGATGGAGTTCCAGAGTGTGGGGGCAGAGAGGCTGAAAGCCTGGCCACCGATGGTAGGGCGGGTCGGGCGGGAGGTATGGAGCAGGCCGGAGCCTGATGAACTTAGGGAGTGGCAGGTTGGTAGGGAGTCAGCAGGTCAGAGAGGTAGGAAGGGGCAAGGCAATGGATGGCCTTAAAGGTGAGGACGAGGATCTTGAACTCGATTCTCTGGGGGATGGGGAGCCAGTAGAGTCGGGCGAGGGTGGGAGTGATGAGGTCACGGAGCCTGGTGCGTGAGAATACACGAGCTGCAGAGTTTTGGATGATCTGCAGCTTGTGAAGAGTCGGGAAGGCCGATGAGGAGGGAGTTCCCGTAATCGAGCCTTGATGTGACAAATGTATGGGTGAGGGTTTCGGCAGCCTGAGGGGTGAGGCAGTGGCGGTGTCCGGCAATATTGCGGAAGTGGTGGTAGGCAGTGTCGGTCATGGTACGGATGTGGGGGAGAAAGAACAGTTCAAGTTCATTAAAGATATCGAGGTTCCTGACTGGCTCAGTGAGGTTGAGTGTGCAGCCATGGAAGCTGATGCTGCCAGCGCCTGAGGTGCAGAGGCGCTGGCGCGAGCCACTCAGGAGGGCCTCGGTCTTGCTGACGTTGAGTTGGAGAAAGTTGGCCCTCCTCCAGGACTTGATGTCGGACAGGCAGTCGGTCAGGACGCCAGTAGTCCTGGAATTCAGGGTGGAGGCAGAGAGGTAGAGTTTGGTGTCATCCACATACCTGCGGAAACTTACCCCATGTTTGTGGATGACGTCACCAAGGGGGAGCATGTAGAGGGTGAAAAGGAGTGGACAAAGTCCTGAGGAACACCGCACGAGACGGTGCGGGGGCTGGAGGGGAAACCGTTTGCCACAACGAAGTGGATGCGGTGTGAAAGGTAGGACCTGAACCAGGCAAGGACAGAACCTTGAAGGTTAAGGTGGGAGGAGAGGGGTTGGAGGAGGATTGAGTGGTCCACGGTGTTAAAGGTGCCGGAGAGTTCGAGGAGGACGAGGAGGCAAATGGAGCCCTGGTCACACATGGCCAGGATGTCGTTTATGACCTTGACCAGAGCAGTTTCTGTGCTGCACGGTAACCCGATTGGAGGGGTTCGTGGAGGGAGTGAGAGGAGAGGAAAGAGTGAAGCTAGAAGGCAACAGCTCTCTCAATGACCTTGGATAGGAAAGAGATTTGAAATGGGCTGGTAGCTCGATAGTTGTGAGGGTCAAGGGAAGGCTTTTTCAAGGTGAGTGTGATCGGGGCTGTTTCGAGGGGGGAAGCAACAGTGCCAGATGACACGGAGAGGTTAATGATGTTGTGATAATTTACTTGTGATAATTGGTTTCACTGTGTGTGCATGCAGTCAGCCAGAAATATTTACACTGAATTCTGTGCACCATGAATTGAATTGAAGGGGCAAAGTAGATATCAAGCTGGCTTTGTTTGATAGCACTGTTGCCTCTGAGTCAAAAGATTATGGGTTCAAGTGCCAAGACATTGAGCTCATAATCTAAGGTGACATTACAAAGCAGTGTCAGGTGAGAACTGAGTTGTCAGTATCAAATTATCAACTGGTACTGTTTTTCCCAATGTCATGACCAATAATCTCCCAGAAAAAAATTGTAATTCACTTCTTTGCTGTTAGTGGGACACTGCTGTGGCAAATTGGGTGCTGCAATCCCTTATAAGTACACAGTCACTACATTTTACAAAAACCCACAAAGGTCTTTGGGAGGCTTCAATGTTATAAGACGTTATATCAAATGCAAGGATTATTTTATTGAAAAATATGAAAGGAATAGACAAATAAGATGCACTGTATTTGTAAAAACCTTTAAAAAGCATCTAAGTGTATCAACAAGGTAGTCAAACATAGCAAAAGTAAACAACAAAATTGCATTGTTTACTTTTGGGAATCATTAGATCAGTTTGCATAATGAACAGTTTGCATGATGATGGTTACCCATCAACATCCTATTATAACATCAAGCTATTTCTAAAACGAGTCCAGCATCCTGACCTCAACGGTCCTTTCACATAATCTGTTCCAGTCATTAGATACCCATTGGTAAAAAAAATGCATTCTGGTGTTGATCTGAAACTGCTCTTTGTTACTCTGAAGCTGAATCCTGATATTTCTGAAAGTACCGTTTGGGGTTTATTCACTCAATCTCATATAAAACCTTATATACTTTTCTAAAGTCCCTTCTGAGATATCTCTTTTCAAGGCTGAAAAGCCATAACTTATCTCATTGTTGCTCATGGCTGTTTCTTCTAACATTCTTTTGGTCATCTTATTTATGGGACATTGCTTTGCACAAATTGGCTGCCACATTCACTTACAAATACAGATTGCAATTCACAGAAATTTCGCAAAGCGCTTTGAAACCCTCTGGATGTTATAGGTGCTATATCAGATGAAATTATATTATTATTATTAATATACAGTTTTGTAATGTTACATAAAAGTAACAACTTTACCACAAGCCTGTTTTAGATAATCATTGATAATTGACTCCTATCAGGTTAGAGCACAAATATTACAAATCACTGAGCAACACTTAATGCAGTTTGATTGATATTATTTTTAAATTAAATGGAATTTATTAATGTTCTATTTAATTTGTTGTTTTAAATATATTTTTATTGGCAATACACAAAATAATTACAATGCTTTTTTTCTCCCCTGCTAAAGGTGAAGAAATTCAAATATTTGCTGAATTTGAGAATGGTTCCTCCCGTGAGGTAGTGCCAAAGGCAGTCATTCATCAAACCCAAACTTTCTTTGCCCAAGGGAAGAGCAGGAAAATACAAGAAACAATAGCCAAAATAGATGGAGAACCAGTGGCTCCAGGACAAACAGGAAAGTGGATTGGAAAAGGCATGCTTATTCCAACTCTGCCTCCCTCTTACCTCAGCTGCAGAATAATCACTATGGAGTACACATTGATGGTAAGCTGCTTTCTTGCATTACTGGTTTGCATGCTGATAATGTGGAAAGAGCGCACTGAAAGCATCTGCATCATCAACAACGCAAATTAATGTTAAGCACAATACATAAGCTAGAGCGCAGTGAAGGACCAAAAATTTACAAAATAAAAGATCTCACCTCAGAGATCACACAAAATAGCAGCCCGTGTACCCTGAACAGAAAAAAAGCACTTTATGGGACTCTAACTGAGTTATGTCTCTGTTGATATTTTGCTGAACTCACAAACAAATCTCCACGATTGGCACTTGCGTAGCAACAAATAAATCCTCGAGCAAGGCCATTACACTGAGGCTTCTGGAGGGGGATGAGTAGAGGAATCTGAGATGGTTGTGAGGAATTATGCTTGTGAGGGTGGCCTGAGTTGGTGACAAATTTTAATATTTGCTTGTTTGATTTTAGGTGTACCTATCGATCCCTTTAGCATTAAATCTAAAGGTTAATTTGCCACTAGTTATCGGTACGATCGCCTTACATCCTTCATACTACAGTGGTGGTGAGCAACCAGAGATGTTAGCATGAACTGGTTGTGCCTCGCACTGTCGGAAAGACCTGAAGGTAAATAACTGCCTCTGACAAAAAATACCATTACAGAAAACTAAGCCTTCAATATTTGGAGGTCAGGTTCGACTCCCAATTATTCTTCCTCCCCCACATCCGGTCCCTCACCAGCACCGCTTTCTTCCACCTCCAACGCATCGCCCGTCTTCGCCTATACCTCTCCCCAAAAGCCGCTGAAACTCTGGTCCATGCCTTTGTCAACTCCCAGCTGGACTATTCAAATGCCCTCCTCGCCGGCCTCCCCTCCACTACCATCCATAAAATCCAACTCATTCAGAACTCTGCCGCTCGCATTCTTACCGCATGAAACTCCGCTCCCCGATCACCCCAGTCCTTGCCAGACTGCACTGGCTTCCTATCCCAGAGAGGATCGATTTCAAGATCCTCACCCTCGTATTCAAGTCCCTGCACTCCTCTGCACACCCCTATCTATCTGACCTCCTCTCTCCTCAGCACAGTACCCATTGCCTTTGTTCCTCCGGGTCTGGCCTCCTCCTTGTCCCCCGAGTCCTCCGCTCCACCCTCGGCGGCCGTGCCTTCAGCCACTATGCCCCGAGGCTCTGGAACTGCCTTCCTCACTCCCTTTGTCTCACTCCCTCCCTTCCCATTTTCAGGTCTACGCTGAAGACCTTTCTTTTCGACCGCGCCTTTGGTCACCTTCCCACCCCTCCCCCTGGCTCGATCCCGGGATCAGTTACTGTAAAGCGCTCTCAGACGCTGTCCAGTGTGGAGGGCGCTATATAAATCCAAGTTGCTGTTGTTATTAGAGTAAGATTTAATGTCATTAATGAGATAAAAGTGACCCACTTCATTGAACATAGTAGCTGCAGCAACACAGCTCAGTACCTCTCTTCTCTCATACAAACAAGTCTCTCCCACTCCTCCTTCTTTTCCAAATCAGACGAATGGGAGTGATTGTGCTTCATTGTACAATAGTGAGCTGTATTAGCACAGTCAGTTTTATTTGTTCAAAGTTATTGACAGCTCATGTTCTAGGCTGACACTAGACTATTTTTTAACAACTCAGATTGACATTAAAGTAGATCAAACATAGCACAAGACTTTGACCATTATCTGTTCGATAAAGGGGATAAATTAACAATGTTTTAAATGTTCAATGTGATAATTATGGCCATGTAATAATTGTGTTTAACAACAAATGACATATAGGTGGCAGCACCCATCTCCTGCAGAGTAGTCTCTCCTCTCTTTCACACTGAGATCAACCCCATCTTGAATTTCAAGCCAAGTAAATGTAACTGTAAACTTTAGCTCCTAAAGAGACTTGTAACATAGTTTGTTTAATATTCATTTTCTCGGTTTGATCTGTCATTTTGTCCTCTCCCTTCATTTTATTTGATAATAATCTTAACCATATGCCAGTTAGTCACTGATTCACCAAGCAATTGAAATACTTATTTATCATATCAAAACCTTTTGAACACTTCTATTATGTCTCTCAATCTTATTTTTTTCTAGCAAATACAATCCCCAATTACTACTGAATGTTCTCTATATTCATAGAATCATAGAATCGTACAGCACAAAAAGAGGCCATTCGGCCCATCGTGTCTGTGCCGGCTCTTTGAGAAGAGCAGTGTAATGTCAATCCCACTCCCCAGCCCTTTCCCCATAACCCTGCAAACCCGTCCTCCTCAAATACCCGTCCACCGCGTTTTTAAAAGTAGTTATTGAATCGGCTTCGACCACCCTTTCAAGCAATGCGTTCCAGATTCGAACAACTGGTTAAATGGTTAAAATGACAAAATGTGGAGTCCTGTAGCTCAGTGGTTAGAGCACTCGCTTTGCAAACGAGAGACCTGAGTTCAATTTCAGACAGGGCGAAACCTTGGGCAAGTTTCCTTACTCCACACAGAGCCTAATAATAATCCCTCCAAAACCAAAAACAATAATAAATTGGTCATTTTCAATCTACGACTGTTTGTGGGACATTGCTGTGCGCAATTGGCTGCCGCGTTCGCCCACAAATATACAGTCAATTCACTTTACAGTGTGTTCTGTGAAGCACTTTGGGACGTCCTCCCGACGTGAAAAGCGCTATATCAAATGCAAGGATTATTATTATTATAACTCGCTGCGTGAAAAAAAAATTCTCACCTCCCCTCTGCTTTTTTTAGAGACTATTTTAAATCTGTGACCTTGAGCCACCGACACACGCAACAGTGGAAACAGTTTTTCCCTTTCTAACCTATCAAATCCCCTCATGATTTTGAACACCTCTATTAGGTCTCCTCGTAACCTTCTCTGCTCCAATGAGAATAATCCCGGCCTCTCTAGCCTTTCCTCATAATCAGGTCCCTCATTCCTGGTACCATCCTTGTAAATCTCCTCTGCACCCTTTCCAATGCCTTAACATCCTTCCTATAGTGTGGTGCCCAGAACTGGGCGCAGTATTCTAACTGAGGCCTAACCAGTGTTTTATATAGGTTAATCATAACCTCCCGACTCTTGTACTCTATGCCCCTATTTATAAAGCCTAGTATCCCATATGCCCTTTTTACAGCTTTATCTACCTGTCCTGCCACCTTCAATGATTCATTTACCTGAATTCCCAGGTCTCTCTGTTCTTTTACCCCCCCCTTAAGATTGTATTACCAGCCTATATTGCCTCCTCTCATTCTTTCTACCAAGATGCATTACCTCGCATTTCTCCACATTGAAATTCATCTGCCATGCGTCTGCCCATTTTACCATTCTGTCTATGTCTTCCTGCAGTTGGCTCCTATCCTTCTCACTGTTTACCACCCCACCTAATTTTGTGTCGTCCCCAAACTTGGAAATGGTACTTGCTATACCCAAGTCCAGATCATTTATATATATTAAGAAGAGCAGTGGTCCTAATACCGATCCCCGGGGGACGCCACTATACACTTCCCTCCAGTCAGAAAAGCAACTGTTCACCACAACTCTCTGCTTTCTGTCTTCCAGCCAGTTCTGGATCCATGCTGCCACTGTCCCTTTTATACCATGGGCTTCTATCTTTCTTACTTTCATGTGGCACTTTGTCAAATGCCTTTTGAAAGTCCATATAACTGCATCAACTGCACTACCTTAATCCACCCTCCCTGTTACCTTATTGAAAAAATTCTAATAGATCTGCCTTTAACAAATCCGTGCTGGCTGTCCCTAATTAACCCGTATTCTTCTAAGTGAAGATTTATTCTGTCCCGGATTATAGTCTCCAGGAGTTTCCCCATTACTGATGTTAGGCTGACTGGCCTGTAGTTCCCAGGTTTGTCCCTTTTTGTACAGGGGAGTCACATTGGCCACTCTCCAGTCCTCTGTCACCACCACTGTGTCCATCGAAGATTGAAAAATTGTAGCCAAACCCTCCGCTATTTATTCCCGTGCCTCCCATAGTACCCTTGGTTGAATCCCGTCCAGACTGGGCGACTTATCCACCTTCAGCCCAGTCAACCTTTTCAGTACTTCCTCTCCTTTTATACTGATCCTATCCATTTCTTCTCCCCTCTCTTCCGATACTGCGGCATTTGGTGCTTCCACTTCTTTTGTGAAGACAGATGCAAAGTACTCATTCAGTACATCAGCCATGCCCTCTGCCTCCACAATAAGATTTCCGCTTTGGTCCTTGATTGGTCCCACCCTACCTTTGACTAACCTTTTTTTGTTGATGTGTTTGTAAAATATTTTAGAATTCCCTTTAATGTTACCCGCTAACCTTTTTTCATATAATCTTTTTGCCCCTCTTATTTCCTTTTTCAAACTTCTTCTGCACTTCCTATATTTTATTTGGTTGTCTTCTGTGTCTTGGGTGACATTTGTCATACGCTTCCTTCTTCTGCTTCATTCTAGATACAGTTACCTTCATCATCCAGGGAGGTTTGGATGCCCTAGTTTTCCCTTTTGTGGGAATGTATTTATTCTGTCCCCAAGCTATCTGATGCTTGAGGACTTCCTGCTGCTCTTTAGTTGTTTTACCTGTCAATCTTTCTTTCCAGTCCACCTTGGTTAGGTCCCTTTTTATCTCACTGAAATTTGCCCTCTTCCACTTGAGTATCTTCACCTTAGATGGTTCCTTGTCTCTTGCCATATGCACTCTGAATCTAATGATGTTATGATCACTGTTGCCCAGATGCTCTCCCACTGAAACCTGCTCCATTTGCCCTACTTCATTCCCCAGAACTAGATCCAGCACTGCTTCCTTCGTTGTTGGGCTGGAAACGTATATTCTTTCCAAGGCCTTGACATTGTTCCTCAAGTAAAACATCAGAATTGGGCACAGAATTCCAAACTATGGACAAATCAACGATTTACAGTGTCCTGAGTGTTTGGGACATGCCGTCTTTCCTCTTATCTCAAACTGCAAGACAAAGTAGAGACCAGGAATAAGAAGACAAATCTTAACTTTTATCCTTCTACGGAGATTTTGTCCTTCAAACAAGGATGTCCCCATTCCTTTGTGACTTAGCCTTATCGAAAACCTTACAAAAAGGAATCATCTTCCAGGCTCTCTCAAACTTCATATCTCTTGGCTGCTGGAAGAGATTCTACCAGTGACAATGATGTACACTGCTTTCCTCTTGCCTTGCTCTTCAGATAATAATAATAATAATCCTTGCATTTGATATAGCGCTTTTCACGTCTTCTCGATGTCCCAAAGCACTTCATAGAACATACTGTAAAGTGAATTGACTGTATATATGTGGACGAAACACAGCAGCCAATTGCGCACAGCAGTGTCCACAAACAGTCGTGCATTGAAATAATCAATTTATTATTTTTTAGAGGGATTATTATTAGACGTGTGGAGTAAAGAAACTTGCTCAAGGTTTTACCCTGCCTGGAATTGAACCCAGGTCTCTCACTTGTAGGCAAGTGCTCTAACCACTGAGCTACAATACCTTGCACTCACTCCCACACAAGCGAAATTAATTTACTAAAATATTGTATCCTGATGATTTCTCCCTGTAAAGAAAAGAGAAGAAACGATTTTTTTTCAACTTTCTCTGATCACAAAGAATGGAATTGATTCTTTGGAGGCAATAGATATTGTTGGTTGGCAATTTTATTTACGCAAAAGGTTAATCAATTACTGGAACAGGTAGCCAGGAAAGGTGGTAGTGGCCAGTACCCTAGAATTATTTGAAAAGCACAATGCTTTCAACTAAGGGATCGCAATTGTAGTGTTCCTAAACACATTCTGATCCTTAATAAATAAACAAGGTTAAAATGTGCATACCCCCCTCAGTATAGAGGTTCTCAAAGCCAACTGAAAACATCACGAGCCTCATTGCGGCATCCCGAGGTGAGGCCAATGTTTAGAAGTCAGACCAGCTATTTGAAAGCTGTAGATATAGTAAAGTTGTAATTCTGTAAAGCGGCCACAAGATCAGAACTAGAGTCCAAAACATCTATTTATGTTGCTGAAAAAGTAAAGGATCCAATTAGTGCTTTGGTTGTAAACAGGAGATTGCTACAATCCACATTTGTATTTCACAGCCACCATATTCTTATGCTGTATTTGTATGAATTCTTACCTTATTTAGGCCCAGCTGCACAGATTCACTGAAATGCAGCCTTACTAGATGGTAATGCAAGATGACAGCTCACACCATCTTCAGCCAGTTTGGGCATAACAGTTATTCAGCAATCAGGAGGAGGGGAATATTTCAATACACATTTTAACATTTCTGAATCAGAAAATGGAATTTATGTAGAATTCCTGCAATTTTGATTCCATTATATTTTCGTGTAATATCTAACAGTGCAACTAAAATAGCCAGTTAACCTTGCTTAAAGGATATGGGAAAATAGGTGTAACTATAATAAGTGATAAAACAAGTTGCAGTGACACAGATACAGTGCATATTTTGCTCTATTATATCTTGTTAATAGTGAATAACATTAGTACATATACATTATTACCATACAGTATATGCATTAGAAATACAAAATGGAGGACTGGAGGAGTGCTGTATCTCATTTGTTTGATAACAGAATATTGCCATCATTCTCTCTACTCTACCACTGCTATACTCTTTAACCTACTCCTCAAACATAGTGCCACAAACTACAGTCTAACAACTCTCACTGAGATTCATCTGACTCCAGTTCAACTCTGAATCTTGCCCCAAACACATTAACCTCACAGGGTCGAGTAATACTTTGGTAAGGTATTTTTTGCAGCCAATTCAAAAGTGGAAATATTTACTATTGATTACAGACCATCCAGATTTATTAGCACAAGGTGTTTTTTTAAAAAAGGCTGATTCACATTTTTTGTTTCTGTGGTGACAACAATTTGCATTTATATAGCACCCTTCAATCAGGGTAGTGTCCCGGAGTACTACACAGTAAGCGTAGTAATGTTCTCCAAGGTTGGGGATTTCAACCCGGTGGTAGAATTTTGCCTCTATAAAGCTGACTTGCTTATTTTTGTTTTGGCTGCAGAAAACAAAACACTCCCCTTTTTGGGTCTGTCACAATTTCCCTGTGTTTTCTGGGGAGGTACTTTATCAACTTTCAGTTCAGACCCATGAATATATACAACTCAGCTGTATAATAATTAGCACTTAAACCAGAGGTGAGGAACTCCCCAGGACTTTCTCACCTCTGATTTCTTATCAGCCTCTCTAACTACTCACTCAGACTCAAAGGAATTAACTGAGTCAGGGACCAGTTACTTTTCCTTGCCCCCCATTCGTGGAGTCCTGTGGCTCAGTGGTTAGAGCACTCGCTTTGCAAGCGAGAGACCTGAGTTCAATTCCAGGCAGGTTAGGGCGAAACCTTGGGCAAGTTTCCTTACTCCACACAGAGCCTAATAATAATCCCTCCAAAACCAAAAACAATAATAAATTGGTCATTTTCAATCTACGACTGTTTGTGGGATATTGCTGTGCGCAATTGGCTGCCGCGTTTGCCCACAAATATACAGTCAATTCACTTTACAGTGTGTTCTGTGAAGCGCTTTGGGACGTCCTCCCGACGTGAAAAGCGCTATATTAAATGCAAGGATTATTATTATTATTATTTCTCCTATTCTTCCCACGCTGCAATGGTTCTCAGAATCTTTGCTGAATTACTTTAAGCCTTGTCTTGACCTTCAAATTTCTCCATGATCTCGCAATTATTTATTCTATACAATCCACTTAAATTTGATGCTCTGCTTCTCCAATTCTGGTCTATCACTTGATCTTCATTCCAATTGCCAATTGCACACAGCAGTATCCCACAAACAGTCGTGGATTGAGTGACCAATTTATTATTGTTTTTTTTCTTGATTATTATCAGGTGTGGAGTAAGGAAACTTGCCCAAGGTATCGTCCTGCTGGAAAGCGAACCTAGCTCTCTCACTTGCGAGACGAGTGCTCTAACCACTGAGCTATAGGACTCCACAGTTTGTCATTTTAACCATTTTGTGACGCTCTTATTCTATGTGAAAGATGCTATATAAGTGCAAGTATTTGCTGTTATTACTTTCCCTTCAATCATAACATGTGAAAGAATTGTTACAATGGAAAGAGCAGAAGATACAAGTTGGTGCATAAATTGCTCCTCTGTCATCCACAGTCCATAACTGGATTTCTGAGTTTTCAACAAATATGTTATTTCTTTCACATATTCAAATAAAGTCATGACATCCTCAAATATCATTCATTGTCTACATGTGGTTTTATTCTTTATAGTGTCCGACTGTGTTACTGTAAGAGCCTCTAAAATGGAGTTAAAAATGACTAATTTACTGTAAAAGCTAATATAAGACATCTTGATGAGAAAGTAAGGTACATATCAAAACCAAAGATTATTATATAAAACTGACTGACTGTGTTACTATAAGAGCTCATAGTGTGGCGTTCACTTACAAAATACACAACTGATGACACTTTACAGTACTATATATCCTATGAAATGCTTTGAGGCATCCTCCCAACGTGAAATTGCTGCATCAAATGTAAGGATTATTATTATAAGAAAGCATCCCAACTCTCAAGGCAAAGGAAGAGTGATGTGAAGCACAGGTGCACTGGGATTGTTTTTCCCGAATCCTCTTTTTAGTGAAGTGGAATGTGCTGTATATTCCTAATATTGGAATCTCTGATGATCCTAATCCCAAAGCTTTTCTTAATATTCCACCGAACATACCTACTACTTTTGCAGCCTCAGGCAATGATCACTGATAAAGATTATCACTATTGGGATCGTTATTTCTTTATACAATTTGTGCCAGCAATTTCCCACAAACAGCCATAAAGCAAAAGACTAATTTTATCTGGGAGATTGTTGGCCAGGATCCCGGGAAAAACTCCATTCAGGAATTTCCATGATGACTCAACCAGTGGAGTTATCACAGAAGTTCCTGAACAATTCCTGGTAAATCAACTGACCATTGCTAGCATTATTGGGACTATCATAGCTTATTACAATACTTTCACCTTTCCCATGGTTGTATTATATTGATTTGTTAATCATACGTGGTAACATGGTTTATCATAGTTTGCTACTGAGACAGACTCTGGATGAGTCATTACTAATGAAATCCAGATAATGAAATCCAGATGAGATTCATACAAGAGAATTTATTTACACCCCATTAAACTGACAAGTTTCAGAATTAGTTCTGTTTACTGGGATCATCTGAATTATTTAAACTAAAAAATATTTATTACAACTACAACTTGAATGTATAGAGCGCCTTTTATGTGAGTAGCATCTTGGATTGTTTAAGAGTGGTGTAGTTTGATGCTGAATTAAAAAGAACAGGCAAAGAGGAAAGTCTTTGGGCATGATTTGAAGACAGGCAAAGAGCGGCAAGACAAAAGAGTTGATAGACGGAGTTAATAATAATAATAATAATCCTTGCATTTGATATAGCGCTTTTCACGTCTTCTAGACGTCCCAAAGTGCTTCACAGAATATACTGTAAACTGAATTGACTGTATATTTGTGGGTGAACGCGGCAGTCAATTGCGCACAGCAATGTCCCACAAACAGTCGTAGATTGAAAATGACCAATTTATTATTGTTTTTTTGTTTTTTGGAGGGATTATTATTCCAGAGATTCAGGGCATAGTGTCTGATAGCACAGCCACCAATACTGGAGGAAAGGGACGAGGGAAATGCAGACAACCCAAGCCAGCTGAGTAAAGGCGGCAGGTAGTGGAATGAAATGAGAAGACATCGAAGAAGTAAACTGTAACTCAATTTGCTCCCTCTCAATTTCTCTTCTACAAACTCAGATTGTTCTATGTGCAACTTTACTGTAACTATTGTATGTTACAGGTATATCGTTGGACAAATAAGTACATCTTATTTCAGAAGACTACATTTTATATGAATATTGTATATTAAAACAGGTTAAACAGTGTTCAGATGTGTGGTTAACAAAATGAAATAAATTGGCACAAATTTATAGATGTTAAAGTTCAAGATTGTGTGGTTAGCCTTTCCCTACTAATTTGTCTCAGTCAGGTTTTACACTTGGCTTGGCTACTTCACCATTGCTCTAAGCACATTCTCTGCACTTTGGAGGATTATATTCAGAATTTTGTTGAGCATAATTGCACAATTCAATGCTCCTCCCCATTCATTCTTATTTCTATCTGTTTGTCTCTGATATCGTAATTTAAAATAATACATGCGTTTTTACATAGTACTTTATCATATCATTGAAACATCTTTCAATGACAACGGCCCCTCGAGCCTGTTCCGCCATTCTATAAGATCATGGCTGATCTGTACCTCAAGTCCAATTACCCATCTTTGCCCTGTATCCCTTAATACGCTGAACTAACAAATATCTACCTACGTCAGTCTTCAAGATGTGAATGGATCCAGCATTCTCAGCCTTTTGGGGGAGAGAGTTCCAGATTTTCACTACCCTTTGGATGAAAAACTGTCTCCTAATTTCACTCCGAAATGGTGAGTTAGGTATGTTTTAAAGAACGTTACAGGATTTTACAGTACAGTCACTATATACTGTAAAAGTAATAATCCTTACACTTGATATAGCGCCTTATCACAATGAGACATCTACAACAACAACAACAAGATTTCATTTATAGAGCGACTTTCATGTCGGGAGGACGTCCGAAGGCGCTGGACAATTGGGTCGGGACCCGAGCAGGGGGTAAATGGTCAGGGTGAAGGGAGGGAAGGGAGGGAGCGAGGAGGGGATAGAGAGTCGCGAGGGGAGCTGAAGGCACGGTCGAAGAAAAAGGTCTTGAGACCGGCCTTGAAGGAGGAAAGGGAGGAAGCAAGGCAAAGGCACTGGAGGATGGAGTTCCAGAGCCTAGGGGCTGAGAGGCTGAAGGCCCGGCCACCGATGGTAGGGCGGTTGGGACGGGGGATGTGGAGCAGACAGCCAGAGGAACGGAGGGTACGGGCAGGTAAGTAGGGGGATAGTAGGTCAGAGAGGTAGGAAGGAACGAGGCCGTGAATGGCCTTGTAGGTGAGGATGAGGATCTTGAATTCGATCCTCTGGGGAATGAGTTCTGAATGGCCTGAAGCTTGTGGAGGGAGGTGCCGGGAAGGCCGGTGAAGAGAGAATTCCCATAGTCCAGCCTTGAGGTGATAAAGAAGTGGACCAGTGTTTCAGCAGAGTGAGGGGTGAGGTATTGCTGTAGTCTGGCGATGTTTCGGAGGTGATGGAAGGCGGTGCCAGTTGTGGCGTGGATATGAGGAAGAAAGGACAGCTCAGGGTCGAACAGAAGCCCTTACAGGATATACTGTAAAGTGGTGTGACCTTGTGCATTGTGTGGGTGAATGCAGTCCCTAATTTTTATACAGAAACAGCCATAGAGTAATTGAACCAATTTTATTTGGGAGATTGTTGGCAACGACACCAGGATAAACTCCCCTTTCTTTTTGAATAGTGCCATTGGATATTTAACGTCCTTGGGATCCTTAATGTCCACCTGGAAAGACTCAGTTTAATGTTTCATCCGAAGAACAGCACCAGATAATGCTGCACACCACCAACATTGCATTGCTGTGTCAGCATAGACCATATGAGTTCCAGGTACCAATGTTGGGCTTGCGGGTGAATAATTTGAACCACATCCCAATAAATTCTGATACAGGGCAACTCCATTATACTGCAATCATATGGGTCCAATATCCCAGACATGCGTGATAAGAAAACGAAAAAAAATGGTCGACTCTGAATCATCAGCGTTATTGATCTCATGTCCTGCATATTGTGCACATGTGTTCGATTCACAGGACATGTTATTCACTGCTCATTATGTACTTGAGCTCTGCATGGCCAAATTACACAGACGTGGATATAGTGCATGGAAATGAAGGAAAAATTTACAATCTTTGAACACATCAACATTAATACTCCAATTTTGCTAGTCAGTACACACAATACACATGTATATTGCCCCTTAGTTTAAAAAGAAACTACTTATGTTCAGCATCTGGGACACACATGACGTGCAAGAAGTAACTATCAGTGGCTTGAGTACGGGAAGCTAGCTTATCAGTGCCAGATAATGGGTGTAACACGAGTCCGGCTAATAAACCTCTAAATGAACCCATGCTCAACTGGGTGTTGTCTAATGGAGTTTTCCATATCTTTACTGATCAATCTCTGTAAGTAATGTTTTCTGACATGAAGGGCTCTATACAAGTGTAATTTGTTGTTGTGGTTGATGTAACATGTTATAAACAATACTAAATTGGTCATTTTCAATCAATGACTGTTTGTGGGACATTGCTGTGTGCAATTGGCTGCTGCGTTCGCCCACAAATGTACAGTCAATTCACTTTACAGTATATTCTGTGAAGCGCTTTGGGACGTCTGGAAGATGTGAAAAGCGCTATATCAAATGCAAGGATTATTATTATTATATTATTATTAAATAGAGTTATTCTATTTTACAGGTTTTTTGCTGTGGAGCCTTTGAGGATCCAGTTTTGAAAGTCACACTGTTCAAAATAACATTGTATTGCTCTTGCTGATTTTTCTCCTCACAGTCCATTGCCTGCCTCTTTTGAAGTCATATTTGGCGGTGTGTGATACTGAGCGAAAGCCAAACAACACAGGTTGTCTTCACTTTGCAAAAGAAGCGAAAGAAGAATTTAGAAGGAAGGAATTATCCTCTTTGAATATATCATTAACAATCCATTCTTGCTGGTAAGTGCATTGGAATAACAGGCTGGAAATGACCATTTCAGTTTATTAACTAGATTTATAAAAAATACAGTATCTATCTTACCCAGCAATTACCCATTGTAATTTATTTTGTTATAATGCAGATTCACCTATAGTGCAATGGGGTTGGGGACCCTAACATATAGTTACAAATAAATCTAAATGTGGACAAAAGACCAGCTGGCTTGTTTTAAAAAGCCAGCTGATTCCCATTGCTAAAAAAAAAGTTGAGTTCCATATCATCAGATCACCACCAAAAGTCAGCCCTACCTGATGACACAAAGTCAAATACTTTTTACCATGGATCATCCACCCATAAGCGAGAATCTCTGCATGTTTATCAATTATAACAGATAATAATACTTACATTTGATATTATAGGACCTTTCATGTCAGGAGAACACTCAAAGCTCTGGACAGGTTTTACTGTAAAGTGTTGTGACAGCATTTTGCGGATGATTCCCTGCAGAAACAC